AGGAGAATGGTGGATCTGCACCCACCTGGCTCTGGCGAATGAAGACAGGGGAAGACATAGAGTTCGGGCATGAATCTGGGAAATCCCCAACCGCAGTCGATTGGGCCTTGTGATGACTGGATCTGGGAAATCCCTCCATGATTCCGATGACAGTGACGAAGAAGAGGAGGAAGGTCTCGGCTCGCTTTGCTCAATTGGGAGTCGGCGGAGTATGGAGAAGAAGCGTGGTTGGTGGTGGGAGTTTCGCTGCTGCTGTTGGAATTTCTTGGGGTGATGGCGAGGCTGGAGGAATTTGTTGTACTATTTTTGGTGTTGCTGTAGTAACAATTAATATCGGTGTTGTTATCCTCGTCGTCGTCGTGGTTGGTTTGTTAGGAAGGGAAGATGGTGGCGGGGAGGTCAGATTTGAGGCGGTCGTTGGGGAGATCGGTAGGGAGTGGAAACCAGGGTTTGACCCTTCATTTTGGGTTTTTATTTTATTTTTTATGTTTAAAAATTATAAATAAAAATTAATCTGATGTGGAATGTGATGTGGCTGCTGACTTGGTCTTTTCTGTTAGAAAACTAGTAACGGTAACGAACTATTAGCCATTCATTTACGCACAATAATAGTTATGGTTAATAATTTGCATTTTCATAATTGTGACTATAATTCCCATGTTCTTAATAGTTGTGCCTATTATATTATATTTACCCTCAAAGAAGCATTAATGAGGGTTTTGGGGATTATGGATAGAGGAGAAATTAAGAGGGTTTGGAAGAGAGTAGGGTTTAGGGATTTTCTTAACATTCTTCTTATTGAATCTGAATGAATAAGTTATGTACATATTTATAGGGAGTATACGAAAACCCTAATAATAAACATAATTCTAGTAGAAGACTACTAACCATAATAAGAAATATTCTAATAATAATTATAATGATAAATAGAGAAACCCTACAGAAATTGGTTTCTAACATCTCCTACCCTTCAGACTAACCTTGCACTCAAGGTTGACCGACTTGACCCATGTTTCCTTCCTTCTCGCGCAATCCACACGCTGACTTCTCCATTTCTTGCGCTTCCGTTTCTTCCAATCGTGCTCCAACTCCGCTATTGGATTTCTTCCACTGGCATGCTTGGGTTGATTTAATTCTTCGACTTTCACTTCTATGGGCCAAGTATTTGCTTTCTTGACAATTTCGAACTTTAACAGCTCCATTTTTGTGGGCATCACAATCCAGGAACTCGAGGAACTCAACGATTTGTTCCTGTTGAAGAATCCATCCTTAAACACCATCTTATCAAGGCCCTCAAAACTCTTTGTTGGGTTTAGCCCAGTAGATTGCATTATTTCTCCTCCACATGCTTTTGGCCTAGTCCTTCTACCCATCAGTTAAGTCCTTCTGCCCATCTTCCATCAAACCCACCTTCATCATAACACCATCTATAATCGGCTCAGTCCCTCCTTGCAGATGCGGTCCATCTATTTCTTGAAGCTCTTCTAATGCTTTCTGATTCGGCCCCTTGCCTAACTCTCCATCAGCCCATTGTTTCCTCAACTCCAGCCCACTCTTCCAGCCATCAACATACTTAGCCCGACTCTACTAGTCTGCCACAAGCCTTCTCTCGGTCTGCTTCTTCCTCATTCGCGGCCCACAAGCTCCCATCGGCACGCCAAGGCCTCCCATTGTCGACCTAAGGTTTGGCCTTCCCCGACAAGCGTCCTAGTCGGCCCGACCCGAAGACGCGTGCTGTTGTTGTTGGTTTGCAGCGCAGCCTAGGGTTGCAAGAGGAGAAAGGCCTTCGGCCCTCTTCCTCTCCGCCTCCGCCTCCGCCTCAGCCATCTTCTTTCTCGGCAACGACCTGGGGTTGGAGACAAGAGTGACGCCACTGCCTCCCTTCGCGAACAGCGCTGCTGACGCCGCCTTCACGATCGAGAAAAGGGAAGCGTCACCGCCCTTCTTCTTCTCGTCCTTCGGAGAACGCGCACCAGGGCACTCGAAATCAACCCCGGCGCGATTTGCGCTGCCTGCGACAAGCCCCGGCGATTGTGATCCACGTCGCCTCGAAAAGATTTGCTTGCGGAACCATAGGCGCCATTCGCGCGGCCAACGAAGACCCGGCGAGCTGGCTCCCCTGTTGCGTCCTTTCGTCGAATGTGGTCGGCGCCGAGCTCAGCCAACATCGCTTACTTCGTTTCGTCAGGACCCTTGGCGGACCTGAGCTTCTCCCCCATCGAGCAGATATCGGAGCTCCTGATCGCCCGAGCCTCTGCAATAATGAGAGACGGCGAGTTGGACGACACCGTCGCAGGATCCCTACGAATCCTATCTCGCGCTTCATCCTACGAGTGGACCCTTGTACTCTTGGTCGCTCGAATCTCTTCTGAACTGCCCACGGTCTTTAGCTTACGATGGCCAGGAAATCCCTTCTTCTCATTCTGCAGTGGTAGCCTCCACGTTCCAGGCACCCTTTTCTTGTATTTCCAATTCGGGTGATACCCTCGTTCCATCACTGGACGATTGGTGGTTGGTTCAGGGTCTGCGCCTGCAGCCTGAAGATCTTCTTGAGAGGTGATTTCTCTCTGGGTGTCGGCAACAGTGGCGGTAGTGACAAGGCCCCCTTCTTTTTCTTTAACAACGATGTTACTCTTTTCCAAGGCCACCGATGCCGCCAACTTAGAATTTCAGCTGGTTTTTCCAGGGTTGGCGTGATGGCAGCGGTGGTGTTGGTTGTTGGCGGCTCGGTCGCCGTCAGCTCTTCCACGCTCGGATGCACTGTCCGCACCTCGCCGTCATCCTCCGAGTCAACCCGCAACCCCGGCTTCTGCTCTTCTGCTGCTGCGACATTCCTGGTCGGCAACTGCTTTACCGGTGCCTCTTCGTCGTGGTTGTGGTCCAGAGGGGCGGTAATTTTGGGAATTGTGATGATGAAATCGGATTTCCCAAAATCAGCACAGTATCGTCTGATCTCGTGGTTTGCTCAAATCTGATTTGCTTTTTGAATCGGATCCATTCGTGACCATCAGCCAATGGTTGTTGTCTCATTATTGCTAGCAAATCGGATCCAATCACTTGCACATCTATGTGCTCCTTCTCGAACCCCAGCAATTCAAAGAACACAACAAGGCGATCTCGCAGGTCCAACGTCATGACATAAGGCATGAAGTCTTCGTACACAAGTTCATCCCTGGTTGAGAGTAGTGACGAACTCAGATCTTCGACCATTACTTCGATACCAAATGTTAGAAACAAAGTCTCTAACGAGTTTTGGATTGGGTGGATATTTGGGAATTTAGGATTGAGAAGATAGAATTAGGGATTTGAGAGAAGAATTGGGGAAGGACAGAAGAGAATGGTAGGCGTCCGGATTAAGGATAGAGGAGAAATTGAGAGGATTTGGGAGAGAGTAGGGTTTAGGGATTTTCTTAATATTCTTTTTATTGATTCTGAATGAATAAGTCAAGTACATATTTATAGGGAGTATAGGAAAATCCTAATAATAAACCTAATTCTAGTAGAAGACTACTAACCATAATAAGAAATATCTTAATAATAATTATAATGATAAATAGAGAAATCCTACAAAAATCGGTTTCTAACACGGAAAGATTACTTGTCGGTGCAGTGATGCCATGCTTCTCGGGTAAAAGGAAAAACAGTTAACAATGGTGGAATTGAGTAATTCTTTACCAAATTAGAACGTCTTGCAGTTAAGCAATCGACAGTGAAATGAATGATGTGATATAAAAGCTCCGGCCTCGTCTCCTCTCATGGCTACACAGATCCCGCACTGATAAAAAAGAAACAATCTTTGCTCATTACCGGTTTCAATTATGAAGATTTGCAACTGGGATGGCGAGAATTCGAGGGAATTGTGTCTTTTTATTTCTGGAATTCAGTGGGTGGAATCTTGATTTATGCAGGTCGGTTGGCTCTGTTTGTGAGGCGATTTTCGTACCAGGATGTTCGAACATTATCGATGTTCTTGTACAATGTCTACATGGTAGATCCTCTGAGGACTCCCTTGGATTGGAAGACAAGGCTGCTGCATTGGTAAGCATGTTCTTGACTGCAAACGGACAAACTGACATCAGTCATCCAAAATTATGTGTCTGATTGATTGTGTGTGTTTTTGTTTCACAGGAGTAGAGGTGGCAAATGGATTGGATTGGTGGATTGGTGGATTGGATTGGTGGATCCATGGATCAAATGGATTGGATCTAATGGATTGGTGGATTCATGGATTTGATCAAGTGGATTGGTGGATTATCCATGAATCCAAATGACATCCTCAACCAAGGACCAATATGTAAAATATAAAAAGTTTATGTACTAAAATGTCACAATGAAAAATTTTAGGTACCAAAACGTAATTTTCCAATGATATTTTTCGTATAAAAAATTAAAATTTAGGTACCAAAATGTAAAAAATAAAAATTATAGGTACTAAACCGTAATTTGTCAAGGATCCATGGATCCAATCCATGAATCCACCAATCCAATTGGATTTGGATCAAATGGATTGGATTTAAATGGATTGGATTATGTGGATATTTTAAATGGATTGATGGATTGGATTGGTGGATTGGATTGAAATTGCCATCTCTACACAGAGTATCTGCTGCATTTCAGCGACCCACCAATTTACAGTGTATCCATCAGCTCCAGCAATGTCATGCGTGACCAGAACTTCAACGCCAAGGTACTTACATCACAAGGCATCATCTGCATAAATCCTAATTAGATCTTAGAATGACTATAGTTCCCTACTTCCCTTTGTTCCTCTGACAGCTTTCTGACATTGGCCTGCATACTTCTGCCGCGAATAGCTTCGCTTTGATACGCCAGAGCTCTGACTCGGAAGATCCTACCCCACCGCGACGTAAAAGTATCATCTTACGACTTACGACTGCAGTGAGCTGAGAAAGCTTCTGGCTGTTGCTAGAGTCTGCATTAGATCGTGATACGAACCTAAATTTTCTATTCAGCAGATATTCAGGTACGTTCAGAAGAAGGTCGAAATACCATATGAATTGACATGAATAAAAACTCTTCTTCCATTACTTATAGCCATCGAGTATCAAGGAATGAAAACAATGGCAAGAGAAATTATAGCGTCATTTGATTTTTAACTTAAATAAAAGATACAAGTGATCAGAACAGCATTTCAAGTTCCCAAAACTTCCGTTACAGACGCTATATAAAAAGCCTAACCCGTAAAGAAGACACACTGAAGAAGACTGTAATTCAATTCAAATCGCCCGCGAAAGCTTCAAGGTTTTCTACTGCTGGGCGCATTGCACCCTCTGAGCCCCACCTGGCATCTCATCATCATCTTCATCATATGCCTCACGCTGAGCCTGCTGCTGCTTCCTCCTCATCTCCTCTTCGATGTTGACATCATGCAAAGTAGTTTCTTCACACTCATCGAGCTCCATCTCGGTCAAGCCACTCGGTTGCTTTGCTGGCAGAACTGTCTCAAGTGACTTCACTTGATCTGGGGTCAATGAATCAGGGAAATCAACGGTGAAGTGGATGTAGAGCTTCCCCTTCAAGAATGGCTTCCTGTACAATGGCATTCCCTCATCGTTGACAGCCTTGAAAGAATCTGAAAAACATCAGAAAGTTGATGTCAAGAATCCAAACACGAGCGTTATTGAAATACAACTATAATTTTTCATGTATTCATGACTCACCAGGCTTGACAACTTCGCCAGGAAGTGATTTGATCAGGAGCTGCCTGCCATCCAAATGTGTAATAACAAACTGGAATCCACATAGGGCTTCAGTGAGGGACAGTGTGTGCTCCACAAACAAGTCATCCCCCTTTCGCTTGAACCGAGGGTGTTCCTTTTGCTGAAGGACAAAGACTATATCGCCAGTGACCGTATCAGGCTGCAATCAGAAAGCAATTAAGCTCAGTCATCTACTAAAGCTGAACAGAGACAGTATCGAATGCATAGACTAAGAAACAGCAAGTCCACAACATACAGCTTCATCTGCTTCCCCAGGGAAGGTGATCTTCTGATTATTCTGCATCCCCTTCTCCACTATCACTTCCAACACCTTCTTCTCCGGGACAACCTTCTCGCCCTTGCACTGAGGGCAGCGATCCTTGTCGCTGATAGATTCACCGGTTCCTTTACATTCATTGCAAGGATGCTGCATCTGCTGAATCATTCCAGGACCTAACTGCCTAATTGATACCTTCATGCCGCTGCCCTGGCAACCTGAGCATTTCATCGAGGCTCCAGACTTTGACCCCTTACTGCATTATACATATAAGGCATACCCTTAAAACCTGACATTCATGGAAAGTAAAAACTGTCGTAACACACAAGCAGGAACCTTTAACTCACCCGTCACACTTGGAGCATATTACATTCCTGGACAATGAAAGCTTCTTCGATCTGCCGATGTAGAGATCCTCCAAGGAAACTTTCAATGGATGAACAACATCCTCTCCCCTTCTCTGCCTCCTTCCCCTACTGCTGCCACCTAGCAAATACAAACACGCACAAACGATCATTACCATCAAAGCCCACCTTTTCAATTCATCCTAGATTCACCACCCCAAAACTTGTTACGAACCGTCTTACCTCCAAAACCACCACCGCCAAAGAAAGACTCAAAGATGTCAAACGGGTTATGGCCGCCGCCGCCGCCACCGCCCATCCCTTCCTTGAGCGCATCCTCGCCGTACTGATCATAAATCTCCCGCTTCTCGGGATCGCTCAACACCTCGTACGCCTGGGCGAGCTCCTTGAACTGCAGATCCCAATCAAACAAATCCACCATCAGACAAAAATTTCATCAACCCTAAATTCTATCTCGCCACTAATCCGAAATAAAGATCTCAATTTCGACCTAATTCAGCAAGAAAGGAGTGAAGGGGAAAAAAAAAATTACCTTCTCGGGATCGCCGCCCTTATCAGGATGATTCTTGATCGCTGCTTTCCGATAAGCCTTCTTCAAATCCTCCGGCGAGGCCGTCTTCGGCACTCCAAGAATCTCATAGTACCTCGTGTTATCGCTCTTCTTCGGCGCTCTCCCGAACATCTTCCCTTTTCTCTCTCTCACTTACGAATCCACAAATCGTAAGACCTCGAAACCGTCGAGATCGGGAAGCTTAATCCACCGGCGAACGGTCTCTGGACTCTGGGTTCTCAAGCTTTTTTCTCTGACCTGCGATGCTGAGAGACAGATGTGGGAAGAGAAGTAGTTATATAAAGGGATGAGATTAACAGAGCTCGATAATCCTGATGGACGGAGGAGATCCTTCCTTCGTGGGTTTGGTTTTCCTTTTGGGTCTTCGTTTTTGAAGAAGGCCCTAGAATCAACTGCTGATGCCGTTCCCGATCCTATGTGGCTTCATCTGGACCGTAGGATTCAGCTGGTGATGATGTATAGTGGTTCTAGATTGTTCCGTGGGAATTGCTTCGTTTGTGGGTAGCCTTGTAGGCTCAGGGGAATTTCCTTTTCATTTTCCGCGAAGGAGAAGGGGAAATGAAAGAGAAAAAATCATTTTTTGGCATCACCTGGATGACGTCTGTGGAAGAGGCCCACTCGCTTGTCCATATAACTGGCCCAATTCTACACCAAAGCCCATGAAACATTGCTTCTTTAATTCAGACCCACAAAATGCTGAACTTACCCAAATTGTCTCATTTCATTTCAAGAAATATCATTGTCAACATGTTTTCCTAGTTGGTTAGGAGTTAAGAGACACCATGATTGCCTTTGCTCCAATAAATATCAAAAGATGATTAAATATGAATCTTTGGCTAGAGTACAACAATTGTGTAATATTAAAATGCATTGTTTGGCTTGCATGAGTTCATGGTAGAACCCGCATAATTTGACATGGAATCTCAAATACTTTAGGTAAACCCATAGCATTTGAGATATCATGGTTACATGAATTCTAGAATTACATGGTGTATCAATATCATGATATCTATCCAAAAAATGAAACAAAAAAAACAGTGAAATTTCAAATATCATGTAATCTTGAAATCTATGGGAAGATGAGTGCCCTTTACACCTCGTGCTTAAGACGGAGGAGTATAAATGAGTGCTTACCTCTATAAACGAGCTCCAACCACTTGAGTCCTTATCTTCATCCATTTATGAGTTTGTAAATCTAAAAAAAATAGATTTTTGGGACTGGCTAGCTGACAGAAATAATGGGATGGAGAAAAAGGGGGAAACCATAATCATGGGTTTAGTTTTGTAATCCCTAGTTTCATACTTCTTTAAAACCATAATTTGAGAATCTTCCTTGATCTAAATCTTGATAACACTATTTTTAATCTCTATAAGTAATTTTTGTGTCGTTTAAAACTTTGTTGCGAGAGATAGGAACCTTATTTTGTGATGCCTTGAATTGCATCAATAACAAGGACTTGGTCTTACCATCATTAAACCTTCTTATAGTGTATTGTCAATAGCATACTAAAAAAATCAGGTCATTCGGAGTGGTTCTTTTTCTTCTGTTGAATCAATTGCTTTCATTGCTCGAATAAAAAGGTAACCGATACAACGAAGTGGAACCCTAAAAAGAAGAGTCCCACGAGTGTCTCACAAACATATATGCTACTCCCTCTCACTCACTGTAAAGGAAAAAAAGTACTACTTACAAACTAGTAACAAAGGTTATAAGTATCTCAAGCGTGTAAGTGCATCCCGGATCACCCTGTTTCCACAAGATAAAAACAAAAGGTCTGCCCTGATAAGACCAGCAAGATCTTCTGGGTCACGGAGGGGTTATCCATGAACAACTCTGTGTCTTTCCTTCCAGATAGAAGATACTGCAAGACACCAGACAAGGGCATGCCATTGGCCTGCCTGAGAGTCTCTACGAATTGCAGAGACTATTTCCTGTGTCATGGCCTCCCAACTAGGAGAATGTAGAAAAGAGAAATGCATCAGCATAGACAGCCTCTGAGTGTAGGTGCATCTTAGAAACAAGTGCTCTCTACTTTCAACAGCAATACCACAGAGTGGACAGGCTGCATCTCTGATCTTTCCCCACTGCAGCAATTTATCCCTGGTTGTAATGGCATTGCGCATTATCAGCCATGAGATCATGCTATATCTCGGGGGACAGTATTTGTTCCAAATAATCTTATGCCATGTGACCTCAGGAGCTCTCCTGCGCAAAGTTTCCCACACTCTTCGAACAGAGTAAACATGCATTTCACGAGAATCCTAGTAAAAGGTGCCCTGTTGCTGGTGAATCCATGGGAGAATGATGCTTCTCAGTTTAAGCAGTCTTCTCTAGGTCCACGAACTACAAAACTGTACTTTAAAAGACCAGAGATCCCTCTACCTGCATATGTATTCATACATCCATGCAACCCACAGAGATCCCCCTGCCTGCATATGTGATCGATATGAGGAAGGCTAGAACCTAGAAGCATTTAAGTATTTTGTAAGGAAGGCAATAAACCTTTCGACATTCTACGAGGAAGGCAAGATGTCTTTTGATATTGAGGATGCTAGTGGCCTTTGATATTTGATCTTGGACTTAGAAAGGTCCATTCATGATATTGCGACATTGTGAATTTCAGGTATAATGCCCATATTTAATGTGTTTCCTTGATTACTAATGATTTTGCTTACTAAGATCATGACTCATCAAATACCATATTTTCCCGCAAGTGGAAAAAGGATGTTTGTATGAGCATTCTTGGAGTTGAGCATACTTTTACGGTTAACCGACAACATATGGGACCCCACAATTACCGTGCATATGCAGTAGAAAAGTTGCGTTTGTATATATATGCTAATCCGATTTATCATAAAGGAACTATGAAATTCACTTAAGAAAATATTACAGATAGTTCATAACTCATGTGTAGCTCGAGTTTGGAATTTAAGTAAACTGAACTACCACTAATAGATTTAAATATTTCGAGTGATCAAACTGGAACGGTTTTTGCAATCTCAGTGAACAACCATGCAATTAACCCTTTTAATTAAGGGTTAATATTTTCGTATGACCTGAACTTTGACCAAAATAAACATACTGGCCAATCTTTTCGATCTATAACATCCTGGCCCGAACTATACGCCAAAATAAACAATTTAGCCAGATCTGACTTTTGACCGTTAACTTGGACGGTCAAACGCGTTGACTGTTAGTCAACGGGCCATGTCACTGCCAAGTCAGCATAAAATATTTAAAATAATTCACAATTTCCACACATTTCCTAATTTTAAATTATTATAAATTAAAAGAAAAATCATCTAATACCTTAGTTAAACCAAAAATAAAAAACGAAAAATTAAAATATTTATCAGATCTTCTGACTTGGCAGTGTCGTGGCGCATTGACCGTTAGTCAGCGCGTTTGACCGTCCAAGTTAACAGTCAAACATCGGGTTTGGCCAAATTGTTTATTTTGGTGTATAGTTCGGGCCAGAATGTTATAAATCGAAAAGATTAGCCAGGATGCTTATTTTGGTCAAAGTTCAGCTCATACGAAAATATTAACCCTTTAATTAATCACCAATTCACCATACTCCCAAAAGTCGAGAGCTTAAATTGAATTAGGGAAACTCGAAAGAAAGTATAAAAAAAAAAAAGAAGGTAAAGGTAAAGGTCTATTTTTTCCCCTCCAACTTTATTTTGTCTTTAATCGACGCCACACCCGCTAACGTACGCACAAAACAGCGACGTGCCACTGTCCCCTCCAATTCCGTTACACATGACATGAGGGACAGAGTTAATGATACGACGCCGAAAATGTCTCTTCACGTCGTCATAAAAACACACCAGCCCACGCGCCGTAACTCTCTCCCCACGCGCCGTGACAGACAGCGGGCCCAAGTAAAACATAAACGACGCCGTTTGTCACCTCATCTCCTTTCCTTTCCTCCCCACGGCGTACTTTAGCCGACACCGGTCCCTCTACTTCCAGTCTCCCTTTTGTATCCTCTCTTTCTCAACTCTCGCGGCGATTGCTGCCGGCTCTTTTGCACATAAAACAACAGGAAACAAATTCCAGGGGAGAGAAAGTAAAGATGGAGGAAGAGCTGGCGAAGTAGAGATAAGAGAGAGAGAGAGAGAGAGAGAGAGAGAGAGAGAGAGAGTTGGCTGCTCCTTCTTCTTCAACTTCAAAATTCCGATTGGTCGCAACTTGATATTTCCCACTGTTCGGTAGCCGGAGTTTCAGTTCGAGTTGAGTGAGTGAAGTTTTGGACTCGTTTCGCCGGAGGCAGTCGATTCTTCTTCTTCTTTGTTGTGGCATTTTGCTCGCTCGGCGCGGCGGCGGTGTTCGTTTCAGGTGCGGCTTGAAGGTGGATCTGTGAATCGGCTCTGAAATTGCTGGGATTGACTGTCCAATTGCTTCGTTTTCCACGTTTCCACCTGGTAACAATTTTTGAATTGCCTGTTTGACTACTAGTTATTAGTTAGTGGTTAGTGTTTCTTTCGGTTCATTTTTTTAATCGCTGAATTTGGACTTTTCTCGCTGGTATCTACCTCCATGGGAACTTAGTTATGGTATCGTAATCATGGTCCCTTTAGGGTTTTGCATTGGCTTTTTTAACCTTTTCTTCCTCCTATTGCAGTATTAAATGCTTATCATTGCGTGTCTATTTCGCCATTTCTGCTTCTGATTCCTAGGACGATCGACTCCATCACTGTGGCAATTGTTATTTTTCCGGCTTCCAGCCCGTCCGAGTCAGGACAGTCGCACTCGGCAAAAAGGTTGCTTGCTCAAGTTGTTTTTTTAACTGGTAAGCTACCCAATCGAACCTTGCTTCAGTCCTTTTTCTAATTCGTTTCTTCTATGAAGTTCGAGTTTGTGGAAACTCTGGATTTTTAGCAAGTTCTTACGATGACAGCAGGACTTTGTTGATTACCGATCGGGGAATTCATACTTGATTCCCTTTTATTACTATGCGGACTTGGTTGCCAAATGTTGATGAGAGTTCTGCAACTATTTCTTAGATCAGACCCGGAATTGCACTGTTTCATTCTCCTTCTTCTTTTGCTGTCTTTAGTAGGTCAGCTGTATGATTCTATTTGTATGCTAAGGGTGTTGACTTATATATGCGCCTGCCATTTTTCTTATGAATTCTTATTCGTACCCCTCTCTGCACGCATTTCAGCATATATAAGTGGGTCCTATTATGAAATCAATCTGCTTTGATTTACAGCTTGCTTTGTGATATATTAATTGCTATTCTGTGGCAGATTAGTGCTGTGTAGCCCATTGGCACAATGGGGGTCTCGGGAAAATGGCTTAAAGCATTGGTTGGAATGAAGAAGCCAGATAAGCCTCAGTCCTCAGAGAAAGTGGAAAATGTCAGTTTTACTTCAACTTAGACATATTTTTTTGTCAAGTTATGATTCTTTTCTTATACATTTGTCTTTAGAGTTATTTACACAGAAAACAAATGCAAGTTTCAGAGAAGTGAATAATCTGGAACTAAAGAAGAGATGTTTTTAGAAGTATTGTTAAGTGGATTCTGGCAAATGACAACCAGTGCTCTTCTTCCTCTTGTTTGTGGTTTTTATGATTTGTATCTTAGATTTGTTTCTGTTTTTGGAGATTTTCCCCACTTCTTTTCACTTCAGCACTAGTTTCGCCCAACATAGAAATATTCAAACAATTTCACAAGGATTAAATTGGTTCTCCTTATCCTTTACATACTTGCCAAACTGTTTTGCTTTTACCATGGAAACTTTGGGTATCTTTTGATGATTAGGCTATGGGGTACCCACATTTAGAATTCACAAACTGAAGGTTGACTTATTTTCAATTAGTATCAGGTCAAGCTTGTAAACACATCTATTGGTTTTTGGTCTCCCAGAGAACATCTGCCAGCAAGTCTCGCCATCGGAGAAAGAATTCGGTGGAGATTGGTGACGGTATACTTCAGCAGGAGCTCAATCACAATGTTGCAGCAGTAACTGGTGAGTCTGTACCAGAGGCTTCAGGATCTCCCGCTACCTCAAGTCAGCTACATGATGTCAATCATAATCAACAGAGATTACATGAAGAATGGGCTGCCACCCGCATTCAAACAGCATTTCGGGGGTTTCTGGTATTTACATGCCACTTTACAAGATAAATCTATTAAGAATTTGCTGTTTCTCCCAGCTTTGTTTCTCACATTGCTTAGTCGGACAGCTATGAAATTGTCAAGTGCTACAATTTATTTGGTAGTTTAAGTTCAGACTGGTTAGTCAACTGTGAACCTACTGTTCTCAATCGGTCTTTCTGAAAGGACGAGCATAGAGGCTTGTGTTTGTTGTAAGGTTGCATATTCTTTCTATCTGTCAGAGTTGTTGGAATTTCAGCCACCTAAGGATAAAACATGGTTGTTGAATGGGTTGTGGCAATTGTAATTTGCTGACATGCCACATATAGCAGTATGAATGAATTTATTGCTTGGTCTCATGATACTGGGTTCTATTCAGATTTATGTCTTTTTCACTATGACATTAGATGGATGAGCTTGTATCAACGGTTAATATTGATATGACATACATGTCAGGCTAGAAGAGCGCTGCGTGCTTTGAAAGGGCTTGTGAGGCTTCAAGCACTTGTGAGAGGCCATGCTGTAAGAAAGCAAGCTGCCATAACTCTTCGCTGTATGCAAGCTTTGGTAAGGGTTCAGGCTCGCGTAAGGGCACGACGTGTTCGTTTGGCAATGGAGAATCAAACAGCGCAGCAAAAACTTCAGCAACAAATTGTCGATGAGGCTCGAGTTCGCGAAATAGAGGTAAGCTATGCTGATAATAAAATAGCGATGTGCCTATCTGCATTATGCTTTGACAGAACTTCTATTTGATGCATAGATGCAATATGTCTTGGTTATATTTTTTCTGTTGTCTTTGATTGTATTTCCTCCCCCCGTTCTCTTTGGATGTGGTTAAGATGGCTTGAAAATGAGAACTTGGAAGCTGTTTCTTGTGCCATTCAACTATGATTTAAATAAGTTCGGATGTGGAGACAGTTCATATCCTACTTCTCTTCATTTTGTATCTCTCTCCATGTCATGTCAATTATCCTTTGTTCTTGGAAGGTTTGGTCTCTAGCATTGAATGTGGATGACAATCTCATACGATAATTTAGCTGTTTTTGGCTGTTCAAATCAGTTGAAATATATTAGTTGTTCATGAAGTGCTGTGACTCTTTATATATGTATCATGGCAATGACTCCAGATTTCTCTTTCTTGAAAGTGCTTCATATGATTTCGGTTTTACACAGGAGGGGTGGTGTGACAGTATAGGTTCTGTTGAACAAATTCAAGCAAAGTTACAGAAGAGACAAGAGGCTGCCGCTAAGCGCGAGAGAGCTATCGCATATGCAATTTCTCATCAGGTAGTATTATGTTGATTTTGATTTATGCATGCAAGTAGAACCAGTGTTCTGGACATCAGAGTCCATTGGCAATAGATATGTCGAGAAGAATTTATAGATCATTTGAATTGAATCGTAATAGAGGGATCATAAATCGGACATGATTAGTCATCTGTTATGTATTGTTCCTAGTGGGATGATCTTTCTAGAAGAAGAGTGGTTTGCAGCTTATTTTTTCATTTGTAAGTTGTCTCATTTCATTTCAAAGCATATCATTGTCAAGATGATTTTCCTGTGTGGCTGGTTAAGAAAACAGGACCATTTGCCTTATCTTCTAGAAATTCTAAAAAAGATGACGGAATAACTGTTAATCTAGGAAGGTTCAGATTACTCTGTGGATGCATCATGCATTTATGCTAGAGAAACGATACTCATGATTGATAATAAATACTTCGAGCAAGGCTCGGCAGACAATTCTTGGATTGCCTGAGTAGTCTGAACCCTTTCAGAATAACCTAGTCTAAGCACACCTGCGTACACCCAGGCACTCTCAAGTTAACATTAAATGAAAGAGACGAGAATAAAAGGGTTGTTTTTTTAAATCTGTTTTAAGTGTTAACTTTTTGGCTAATTCAGCAACAACCTGCAGACTTATAGATGGTATTACCAAGTTGAAGCTTTGCTGAACACAAGCCTCTCTTGAGACTTAGTTATAATAAATCATTCCGGGTTGTAGTTATCGATTCAAACATTTAGAATGTATGTTTAAACCATGTCACTGGGTACCTACAATTGGCTGATCCCTTGAGCTAAATCTCTCTGTTTTTCACAGTGGCAGGCAGGGTCTAGGCAGCAGGTTATTCCCTCGGGGTTTGTTCCGGACAAGAGCAGTTGGGGTTGGAACTGGTTGGAGAGATGGATGGCCGTCCGTCCATGGGAGAACCGGTTTCTCGACATCAAGGAAGGAGTGACGATCCACGAGAATGAACCGGACGACAAAAATGGCTCCAAACCTCAGGCAAAGTCTACGGGCAAGAAACCAGCTGCCCAGGCAAACGTCCCTAGTCAGAAAACAGGTCCTTCTCCTTCCAATGGCAGCAGCTCTTCACCTACAAGCAAACCAGCAGGCATACAGGAGGCGCCATCAAACACGGATTTCACGAAGCCAAAGCCTAAGCAAGTTGCTGGACTGATAACTGAAGAAGCCAGCTCTCGACCGGGGATTGCCCCGAGATCTCACAGCAACCCGAAAGAGAGAACCTCTCAACCTGGCAAACCCGTGAAGAAGAGGCTATCTCTTCCCAACAAAGGTCACCTCCCTCCCTCCCTCTCCTACAAGTGATCAGTTCCTCATTCTGTCTTCTCCATTTTGTATTACAGGCGGAGATTCAGGGACTGATGCAGCCAGGCAAGGCAGACTGGCGAAAGGCTCGTCGCCTGCAACGTCTAAGAAGCCCGTGAAGAAGATGAGCGGGAAAGCAGACTCGTCGAATAACGCCAATGCAGCCGTTGCAGTTGCACCATCAGCTGTTGAAGTTTAGAAAGCTACAGAAGAGCGTCTCGAAGTATCTGTACATAATATAGATGTATGTATATGTATTTATATATTAGGCTATCTTTGGAGAAGATGCCGTCGGTCAGAGTCGATCTTTCCTTTCCTTCCTACTACTATTACCACTCAGGTGAGTTTCAGGTTTACTGGCGTGGCGAGAAGGAGAATAAAAAAGAAAAATTTGACGAAATTCTTCGGCAGGTTTGAGATATGTTTATGGGTTTGTTGATATAATGTTTCCCTTGTATTGATCCTTTCTCATCGATTCGTTTGTTGTTGTTAGTTAATTAGTATCTATGTATGGAAGCCCTTTGTACCTTCTTGCCTCTTGGGATGTGATTATTTCAGGTGTTTAATTTAATTAAATTAAAGCAGCGTTCCGTTTCTTCCTTGCTTTAGGGTTAATGATCTAATTTAATTATAATCCCCTGTCCTGGACCTCGATGAATTGCTATTTTGGTTTCATTGAGTGGGGAGCAGGTGACGGTTTACCTTCATTTCTGTTTCCTGTTTTTGAGAAAAACAGATGTTGAAAACAGGTGAAAATAACATTTTGTTGTTTCCGAAAATAGCAGGAAGCTGCCACTTTCTGTTTTCAGAGTTGGAAACGAATAGAAAACAGAATGAAAAGTAAACAGGTTTTATCATTTCAGTTGCCAAATTTATGACATGAAAACAGGAAACGAAAATGGAAGTGATCAGGGCCTAGGATGAGAGTAAGTGAGTGGGGGAACATGTCCGAAACCTTAGGGTGAGAGTAACTTGTTCAAATCAGCGTGACATTAGTATCCCTCTCTTTCATGGAAAGTTTTTTTTACCTTTTCTTATTTAATCTTTAGCGGACGATTTCTCTCGTTTTAAGTTGAAATTTAATTTTTTTTGCACAGATAAATCAGATTAATTGTGCTCTTTAAAATGATATCTACTTTGAAATATTTTTAGAACAAAATAAAAAATTAAGTCATTTTTTACCAGTCATTTTGGGCGAGTAGTATCCATATTTGTCACCATATTCTTTTATTAATGGTGAATAGCTGATCGGATTACTATTACTTATGAATATCCGAAAAACCATGGGTATGATAATGAATTTGTAAAACCTTTGCATGGGTATAGATTTGGTTATTTAAAAAATGAGATTGGGTTGGTTTAAGCAAACTCGTCACATTGCCTGTGAAGATTCACATGTCGTTCCCAAAAATAGTGCCTACAAAGCATCTACAAGCTAATGAGAGTTTTGGGCCTCCGTCTCCAAAACTCATATATGTTGGGTGGTTCTAATTGGACCGAACCCAAATGTAATTGGGCCTCCGTTCTCAAATTGTTGCTTCTCTTATAATCTAAGCATCTGCTATGTAAAAGCAGAAAACTCTAGGGACCTGATTCTAAATTCACCTTTCTCCCTTGCGGCTGGCTGCCGAAGAATAATTTCCCGAGTAGTGTATACTCTAAACCCTTCTCCAGCTCAACCGCCGTTTCAAACTTGTCGACGAAACACCGCCTATTTACGCAGAAAAGACGAACAGATACGCCGTCGGCTCCGCAAATCCCTGCCGGCGAAAATGGGGAAGAGCGATGGCAAGACGGGGTTAGGGAGAGCGCTGGTGAAGCACCACAACCAGATGATCATTCAATCCAAGGAGAAAGGCCAGTTCTACAGGCAGCAGAACAGGGTTCTCGAATCCATCACCGACGTGAACGACGTCGACGCCGTCATCGAGCAGGCCGAAGAGGAAGAGCGTCTCCTCCTCGCTGGTGACCGCCCCGCCCCCAACCTCCCTATCAGTCTGTGAGTTCTTTTCTCTCGAACCGAATCTCAGCTTTTACGCAGCCTTTTCCATCTTTTGCTAATTTCGTGCGAGGAGTAATCAGGGTTTTCTGGTGGTGTTTTTGGAACAGGGATGGGGTCTCGAGTTCGAGTGCTATGACGCCGGAGGAGAGGAAGGCGCAGCAGAAGGAAGCGGAGTCTTTGCATGCTAATAGCCTGCGAGTCCCTCGCAGGTATGCCGCCGAGCCTCCTTGTTTCTCTTTTGTGTTTGTTATGATTTGATTTCTGGTTTGCTTGTATTTCATCATGGTGTGTTGTTGAATTCAATAGGCCGCCGTGGAATCCCGAGATGTCGGTGGAGCTACTTGATTCCAACGAAAGACAAGCTTTCTTAATCTGGCGGCGAAGCCTTGCAAGGTTTGTTCAATCCTCCATTGGACCTTTCATTTTGGAATTTGTCAATTGTGGTGAAGTAAATGTAGCAGTTAGCTAACTAGCACATGTAAACTCGAACAAGGAGGCGGAATTAAGGTTGTGGATGTCCAGAGCTGGTAGTTGGATTTTTCTGTTAGCCTTGAGGCTGTAGCCTATTCGGACTTTGTAGCCAAGTGCCTGCCCTTGTTTTCTGTTTATATGTAATTGAAGTTCAAGCTAAACCCTGTTGCTTAATATGATGTATGTATAGCTTGAACATCACTGTAAGTTGCTTTGATTAGGTATCCAGTGTATTGAGTCATGGAATACTATGTCCAAGATTTGGGGCACCTGGGATTGAGTTTCGAGTTTAGCGAGTACACAAATGACGACTTATCGACCCTGCCTGTAACCATCTATGAGTAGGTTTGACATGGATGTTACTGATTCATGATAAAAGAAACCGGACAGCAGAAGTTTATGGGAAACGTTTTGGTTTGTCGTGAGTTCTATGGACTGTGGTGTAATTGTTTAGGATTGCTAAACTCAGGCTGTCTTGTCTATGATATCCAATACTAGGGTATATCATCAATCATGAAAAAAGCAAGTGGATGCAAACAAAATGCATAAGGATTAGTAGTGTGGATGTTTTATTTTATATCTTTCGTTGCATAATTTTGGACGTTTATATGATTTTTTATGATGATTGCAATAAGTTCTTACAGTTTGCACGTGATGATTTCAGCTTAGAGGAGAATGAGAACCTGGTTCTCACACCATTTGAAAAGAATTTGGATATCTGGAGACAACTTTGGCGGGTGCTTGAGCGCAGTGATCTTGTAAGCTATCTCTTTTGGTTCATATCCAGTTTTGAAGCTGAAATGAATAGCAAATTTCAGGATTCTTCCCTTGCTTGCTCTCTTATCTGATATATTCGTCTTTAACTGGATTAATTGGTTTTTAACCAGCTGGGTAGCACAGAGATTCACAACTAAACCATTATAGTAGAATCATATAGCAGATGCACTCTGATCGCTTTGAAAGTGAAACAAAAACACCTGTGGCTAGTAATCCTACAAGCTTTTCTCGTGAAGTTAGTAAAAATGATCAGACTAATCTGAAGTGATGCATCAGCACCATGACATTGGACTATCATGCTAAACAGAGTTTCATACATATTCCAGTGTCCTAGACTTCTGTAGTACCGTAATTTGTATCCGAAATTAGTGTCTCTGTGGATTCACTTGGAGGGTCACCTGTGCTCTCTGTTTGCTGTTTGTTTCTGAACACTATCTTTGAAATTGCCAAGCCTTGTGAACTATCATCCTTTGGACTACTCCTGATTCAATATTTCCATGACAATATGAAAGTTTTAACTGAAGTTTTGATTACATTATATTCTTTGCAGCTTGTGATGGTTGTCGACGCACGAGATCCTTTGTTCTATCGTTGTCCTGATCTTGAGGTATGAATTCTTTTCTTTCTGACGCAATTCTGCTTTCTGAGAAGAAAAGTAGGGCTTCTCCTTTGAAGTCGAAAAGGCTTCAAAGTTGTCAGATATGGTGTATGAAGGAAACTTAAAGATTCTCACGTTCTTACAGGAATATGCAAGAGAAATCGATGAGCATAAGAGGACACTACTCCTTGTAAACAAGGCAGATCTTTTGCCCTTCTCAGTCAGGTCAGCCATTTCCAAAATATGTCCTCTCTCCATTGCATTTATCCCATCTACCACCTCTCACAAACTTCGACCTCTCTTTACTCGCTACAGGAAGAAATGGGCCGAGTACTTCCGCCAAAACAATATTCTGTATGTCTTCTGGTCAGCCAAGGCTGCTAGTGCACTCCTCGAGGGCAAAAAGCTGACTGGACCTTGCGGACAAGAACAGGCAGACGATACTGATACCAAAATATATGGCAGGGAAGAGCTTCTATCTCGTCTGCAGTCCGAGGCAGAAGCCATAGTTTCAAGGAGGAATCGAAATAACTCCCCCGCCAAATCAGTGACAGTGGGATTCGTCGGGTACCCCAATGTCGGCAAGAGTTCAACGATCAACGCCCTGGTCGGACAGAAGCGAACTGGCGTGACATCAACTCCTGGCAAAACAAAACATTTCCAGACGCTGATCATGTCCGAGGAGCTCACCCTATGCGACTGTCCCGGTCTGGTGTTCCCTTCCTTCTCAAGCTCCAAATACGAAATGATCTCCTCTGGAGTCCTGCCAATCGACCGTATGACCGAGCACAGGGAGGCCGTCCAGGTGGTTGCAAACCGTGTCCCGCGCCATGTCATTGAGGCCGTCTACAGGATAGCCCTGCCGAAGCCCAAGTCATACGAGCCGCAGTCTCGGCCTCCATTGGCGTCAGAGCTTCTACGAGCTTACTGCGCTTCGCGAGGGTACGTTGCATCGAGCGGACTGCCAGACGAGACCAAGGCTGCACGTCAGATTCTGAAGGATTATATAGATGGGAAGCTGCCTCATTATGAGTTGCCACCTGGAATTGCTGCTGACGAGGTCAAGGATTCTGATGCTGATAGTGATTACAGTGGGTCTGAGTTGACAGAGTCTGATTCGTCGGATGTCGAGGAAGGAGGAGAGAAGAATCCTCGGCCTGCGATGGAGCATGTGCTGGATGATCTGAACTCCTTCGACGTGGCGAATGGGATCGCGGCGAGGAAAACTACAGAGAAGAAGAAGTTCAAGGAGTCGTTCAAGCAGCACAAGAAGCCTCAGAGGAAGAAGGATAGGTCGTGGAGGACGAAGACCGACGACGTCGATGGGATGCCGGTGGTGAGAGTCTTTCAGAAGCCTCTCAATACAGGTCCTGCGAAGACGGCATGATATTGATGTTTTTGTGATTGTATGTAATGTATTTTACCTGCAGCTGGGTGACGGCGATGAAAGGTATAACGAAGAACGGTTCTAGCTTTGGAAAGACGAATTGGTTTTTGATCAGAAGAAAGTGACCCTTTTTTTTGGGGCTAGTTTTTCCTTTTGAAAGAGGAAGAGTTGTCCAGTATGGATTTGGCCTCCTCTGGATGGAAGTTATGGAGACATGATGATGTGATTGTAGGGAAGGCCTGACTGAAGGGGGAGAATCTACTTGCAGTTACGGAGGAAAAGGGAGGCGGCAAATGTGATTACCTAGCTGGAATCCTGAACATCACTTGCTCCCATGCAAGGTTGTCGATCCGCGGGTCAACCCACTCTGACCCTGACCCTGTGAGAAAACCGGGTCGTACGTATCCGTTGGGTCGATCGTTACAAAGTATCGGGTTGGAGATCAAACTGTGTCATTTTTTTCTTTGGTTTGCGAAATGCGCCTGTTTTCCGATTATTTTTTTCGCCTAACTCAATCTTTGGAATCCTTAGTTGAACATTTGAATATTGATGTTATATAAGTGTGTGTGAATTTTCACTATATGTTGATCTAAGTACGACATGTTACTTTGATGTAATATTATATGTTATTACTCATATGTTAGATGAGATTTGATATAATTTATCAGGATAACTACAATATAATGACTCTTTCCATATGTCCGGGCTAAAACAGGTGACCCGTTAATCCTTGACCCACTAGATAAACCAGGTCCGGATCAACCCGCGGGTTGACAACCTTGCTCCATGTGTCTGTGTTGTAGAGATTCCACATCTCAATTTGTTATCAAATGACTCGTTTGCTAACGAAAAACAAAATAAGTCTTTTGCAAGTGACTTATCCGCAATGGTTCGTTTTCCATCAATACTTTCCCAAATCCCAATGTTAACTCACATTCTTTTTCATGTACCCAAATATCAACTCTTACCTATTCTGTGCTCATAAATCAAGGTTGAAAACCCGCAGGTCGTTCATTTGTTGACTTGTATTAATTCTGAGTCGGTGAGAAAGACGAACCACACACACTTGCAAGTCGACCCGCTGCAAGGTTGAGGGGTTGGAGGTCACATGACATCATTTTTCCTTTTATTTGGGAAATGTGTCTCTTTTCTGGTTTTCCTCTTCACATAACCCTATCTTTAGAATTCTAAGTTGAACATTTGGATATCGAGGTTATATAAGTGTGTATGAATTTTCGCTATATGTTGGATCCAAGTGTGTCATGTTATTTTAGTGCAATGTTATAGGTTATCACTCATTTTTTAGATGAGATTTTATATAATTAATAAATGTATGAACAATATAATGACTTTTTCATATATTTGGGCTAAATCGGGCAGACCATTAACCCTCAGCCCACTTACTCATCGGGTCAACGGATTGACAACCTTATCGTAAGCTTAATATTTTTCAATCAATACTTTTCCATTATTTTTCACTAATACTTTTCAATTATGTTAAACAACATATTTGAAAATGTCTCATCTGCAAATACACCAAACAAACGACCCCTGGAGCTTATCTCACCAATATGAGAGTTGTTTCAACACTCATGTGAAGAAATAAGGGGGCAATTGAAGGTTTTTAGTTGGCCTAAAGCTTGGCTATCATAAGGTAGCCCTACAATTAGATTCGACAGTGGCCATATCGCTCCTACTAGTTTACAACGAGCTTATTCATCACCATGTCAACATTATTTAATAGTGTTATCGTCTCATTCATAAAAATAAAAAATAGGTTTGTAGTCTCATCCGTTGTGATTGTACCATTCACTAGTCTAATCTCATATTAATAGGATCATTTCTTGGCCAACTGTTAGGCTTATAAAGATTTCTCTTTTCCTATAGGTTTACATTCCACAACAAAATCCAATATGGATGTTCGTTATTTGTTTGTGTATTCTCAAAATGAGCATTATTGAGATAATTATAATGATCTCAAGAACTAGATGAAAGGAAAACAAGTAAGAATTATAATAGAGGAGTCATCCATGACTGATAAGGTAAGAATTATAATGATCTCAAGAATTAGATGATTTCTTTCCTCTCCTACCTTGAAAATGGAAAACTGGTGGTAACTTCCCTCTTTTTTTGCAGGGCTTCTTGGAAGACATGAAAGAGTGGAACAAGAAAGTGATTCGGAACATCTTCAGAAGGAAAAGAGAACTTCTAAATGAGTTGAAGCCACTTGAACTACTTTATGAAAGGAGGCCCAACGGTAGCTCATGTTTGAAGGAACATATTATAAGGGAAGAACTGAGCATACTTTATGGCAAGAGGAGTTGCTCTGGATCCAAATCAGCTTACGTAGAAAAAATTTCATGCCAATAGACTCGTGACATCTATGTACTGAGTCGTCAAATGAGCCACATTAATAAAGCCCAAGCTTATACGCATTGGTCCACACTCCACAGGGTGTCCTAAGAGTGTCCGAATGAAAGACCCAACAAGCTTACATGAACCATCAAGAAAGTCCTACATCGTGCTAATAATAAACGAGCGCCTTATTAGTTAATCAAGTAATCAAGGCCAGTAAAGCGGGAAGAAATGTTCCAAGCAAAGGATATTGAAACTGATGAAGCAAACAACGGTTACCAGAAGAGCGACATTTGTTCTTCACATGAGTTGGAGTTAGCCATGGCGGCCTTCACATTGCCATTACGTAGAGCTTTGATACACTTCATAGCCAAAGTCAAAGAGTCGATTGGAGCTTTTCATGGAGCAGTTTGCTTGGGACCCAGCGAAATAACATGCTCCAAGATGGACCTTTAAATTCAGACCATCGCCCAAACTGACTTCTTCTTTCCCCATGAAACAGAGGGACAGTAGTAGGAGACCCATTCTCGACAGAGGAGAGTACAAATCTAGAATGAATTGGATGATCAATGGGGATGGTAAATATAATATTCTTTCACAAAAGTACTATGAGCAGCATGAAGCGAAATATAATTTTATCACTCAAAGATGCTAAAGGCTAGTGGGTTAATGACCCGAATACCCACCAATTTTTGGCATGATAGCATTTTGTCCAGCTTCATACGAGCGAGGAAATAAAGGACATACCTAGTAGGGGTGTTCAAACGGTTTGGTTACCATGGTAACCGTTTTAACCGGTACTATTTGGATAATTTGGTTTGGTTAATTTGAATAATTGGTTTGGTTTGGTTAAATTTTTTAGCTTGTTTGGTTTAGGTGGTTTGGTTTGGTTTCAGACACTCCTAACCAGTCAAACCAAATTAACCAGTTAAGTAATTAGTCATATATCTAAACATATATTATATACACATACTTAATATTTTGCATAACCACTCAAGAGTTAACGTTCATCCCTTTTAGACTCATAAAATATAAAGCTCAATATTGCTCATATAGTGTATATTTGTATATGTAAAATGTAGACCACAACATATGGACGCCTAATTTAGATAAATTTCATACATTATGATGGATGAAAACTTGAAAGGAAGTTCATTTCCAGCTTATGATAATTGCTAAGAGACTAAGTCAATTTACACAAACACAACAATTCATCAACCCATACCATTGTCATAAATTTTTGTTAGGTGAATATTTCTATACTAATCGTAAGATAATTGTCTTAGTTGCATGTATTTTTGTTAAGGGTCAACTATAACTACGTGTTGGTTGTTATGTTTTATTCATTATATAAATTGCGAATTGTTGCATTAACCGGAAAATTTTCATCGTCAATGATAATGTGATTTTATATTGGTTAATCTGGTTAACCAATTAACCAAACCGATTAAACTTTAGTTTGGTTAATTTGGTTGTTGTATTAGTTTGGACGGTTTGGTTATGATATTGTATTCCATGGTTAATGGAATTTAGCCTTATTTGGTTTGGTTATAACCATGGTAACCATTTGAACACCCCTAATACCTAGAGTGGTTGCAAAGTTCCCTACCTTGGCAGAGTTATCAGTGTCAAGACTGGAGGCTAGTGCTCAACATTGTCGAGATTAAGGCCATCATCATGGACATTTATGGATTAAAACATCGAGAAAAGATAGCTTCCATGCAAAATTTTATAAAAAAAGTTGGAAATATTGGAATTGACTTTGTTAACTTGATCACGTATTGTCTTAGGGAACTAGAAAGGACAAAACCATCAATGAAACAATGCTTTCCCATATTCTCAAAGTGGACAACCCATCTTCTATGAATCACTTTAGACCAATTAGCCTATGGAATGTGGCATACAAAGTGGTGGCTAGAAGCATTGCTAATGATCTTAAAAATCTTATATCAGTTCATTCTAACAAGTCTAGTTTTTTCCTTAAACATCGCATTATTAATAACAATATCATAATTTTGAAAGAGTCGACACACTCTATGTAAAAAAAAAAGGGAAGGGGCACATGCTCTTGAAGGCGAACGTTGTCAAAGCCTATGATAGGTTGAGCTGGCAGTTCCTTGAAAAAACCCTTAGAATTGCTCATATCCCAGCCAAATGCACCAAGCTTATCATGTTCCGTGTGACTATAACAAGTTTTCGGGTACTGTGGAATAGAGGAGAAATTGACAGTTTTGTTACTTCAAAAGGGCTAGGACAAATATGTCCCCTCTCCTCTTACATGTTTACATGATGTGTTGAGCGTCTTAGTAACTACATCAAGCTTGAAGTTAGGAATGGAAGTTGGAAGTCCATGAAGCCCTCAGTATGAGGGCCTGAGCTCTCTCATCTCTTCTTCGTGTGCGACCTTGTGTTGTTTGTAGAAAATAGTCCCAGGCAGGCTGATAGTGTGATGAATTATTTAGAACAATTTTTTTGTTGCACCATGGGAACTTATAAGCAAGGAAAACATCATGTTTTTTCCCCTCTAAAATGTGAATAAATGGGATAGAGTAGAGATTTGCAACTTGTTGGGCATTCAACCCACTAATGACGTAGCTAGATACTTAGGTGTTCATGTTCTTGTTTTACAAGAGAGAATATAAAAAATACCTACAAGTATATCCTTGAAAAAATCAGAAATTATCTTCATGGAAAACTATAATTTTGTCTATTGCTGCATAGTTACTCTTACCCTCTTTGCATTGAATAGCATTCCCACTTATGTCATGCAAACCATGTTGTTACCAGCCTTTGTTATGATGCCATTAATACGAAATAGATAAGCTTTGTTTGGGGTTCCCAAGAAGGGAAGAGAAAGACCCACCTGTTAACCAAAGAGCTACGGGGGATCTTAGGCTTAAAACAACTCGTAGCTTAAATGTGACATACATGATTAAACATGCATGCATATGCTTAGTAAGATGGTGTATCTATGGGTGCAGGTGCAGGGGAAGTATTTTGAGTATAAGAAGGAGGAAATTGTCTCTATGAAGATAAAAAATCACTCGAGTTTATGGAGAGCAATTGTGAAAGATTTTCCCCTTACGAAAAGTGCCGCTTGTTGGAATCAATAACGGGGATACAAAGAGCTTTTGGTTACACACATGACTGGAAAGTGAAGTCATTTTCTAGAATTACTACCTCACTAAGCTCACAAAAAGTGAAAGCAACTCCTCTTTGGTTGCAAACTATGTTATCGAGAAAGGTGAGTGTGATTGGACTTGCTACGAGTGCAGGTTTGGAAACTCTGAAACCAAAACTGGAGGAGGATAAAATGATATGGGTGTTGGAAAGGGGCATAAGATTGCAGCTCAAATCGGCTTACAATCTTCCAGTCAACGAAGAGGAAAGGAAAATCGAGCTAAAGTGGAAAGGGCCAAGCATGATCAAACACTTCTTGCGGCTTGTGTGCCACAATCGCCTCCTCAATAACAAGGAACACAATAGAAGGAAGTTCACTGATCAAAGCTACTATAACTTTTGCAATGCGGAGGAAGAAACAATGAAATACATCATTCGCGAATGTGGCAAAGCTGCTTCAATTGGGACAAACACAAATACAACGTGTCAGAAAGAGACCCAAATATCCCCATCCATGACTGGTTGATACCTAACATTATGAACGACAAGACGAGGTGGATTCTGGCTTTGTGTGTTGGAACCTGTCAAACAAGGGAATGAAGAAGTCATGGACAATTGCAAGTTCTCGGAGCAAGGTCTTCTCCTTGGGACCAAAGCATGGTTCAATATCAACGACCAAGAACATCAAAGCATCATACAAACTACAAACATCACCCAAGAAGCATTTAAACTAGCAGGTAGCATGAAAATCTCCAGCAAAAGCATGGATCCAAATCTCGACTAATGGATTGGTTCTTTCCCCATATGGATGTGTTGCTGCTGGAGGCCTCATTAGAGTCTATTTTGGTAGGTGTAGTGAGGCGTTTGTGGGTTATCCAGACACTTTCTCAATCACAAAGGAAGAATTAAAAACGAGTTGTCGAGGGATTAAGGATGCCATGCAAAATGAGATACAAGAAAGTATTGTTGAATCTGGCTCAACAACTATGGTGGCTATCATTGCCAGTTGCAGACAATATGACCATAATCACGAGTTTATGTCAAACGCATTTTAGGATTCTTTTGAGCCTTGATTGCGAAGTTATATCTCATATATATAAAGAGCCTAATTGTCTTGAAGACCGCCTAGCTATAATGGTCATTCTTTTGATTTCGACACAATTCTCTTCAATGTGTCCGCAACCTAGGGTTAAGCTATTGGTTGTATCATGATATCGTGGGAATATCCCATGATCGTTCAATTCCTTCTAATGAATTAAAAGCTCATTCGCCGATGTTTCTAAAAGTCCAAGTACGTTAAGTTGGTTGTGACAGACGGAAAAAGGATAAATTTGGGACTGAAATTAACACCATACCAGAATTGAGTGACCAAAGAAGAACTTCAGCCAAAGGAAAAGAAAACTAGAGAAAGTGAAAACCCCCTTCTCGGAGATTCCGGTGACGTTCATTTTATTATTCACAGCCCGACGGCGATCGGCCGCTGTACTCATTTCGATTCCGGTTGACCCAAAAAAAACGCCAGCACAGCATCAGCAATTTCCTTCCATGGCTTTCAGAGAAAAAAAAAATTATACAAATTTTTTGTAGAGAGAGAAAGACCCTAGAGAGAGGAAGTCCCGATGATTGGCAGAGAGAGGAAGTTAAAGGTAAAGATTTTTTTGAAGATTTTAGTAATTTCTTTTTTATACTAAGTATACTATTATTGCAGATTTGAGTCCGTCCCGTTTCCCAGTCGTCTTCTTCCTTCCTCCCTTTTCTTTCGATCGAACACTAAAACCTAATCTTCAATCCTCTCTCGTATTCCGTCTCCCTTTCGAACAATTTCTGTTCTTTTCTCTTTTCCCGGAAGAAGAAAGAGAAAAACCGCGAACGAGCTTCGGCTTTTTTTTTCTTCTCTTCCTTCCATTTTCCGGGATTCTCCCCAGTCCACTGATCCAAACTAGGGTTTCTCTTTTCGTTTCTGGCTGGGGTGGTGTGCTTGGAGGATAATCGTCTCCTCCTCGTTGAAGAAATGTTGATTAATGATCCCAATTCGGCGTAATTCCAGCTCCGATCTTGAAGTTAGGGCTCGAAAATAGGGATTTGAAACGCGATGGATTTGGATTCGTCGATGGGGTCGGAGCCCGATCAAGATCCAGCCGCGCAGCAAAACGATTTGCCTGCTCCACCTGCTATAGACAGGGAGAGCCCGCTGCCCGTGGGATCTCCGACCGCCGCTGCGACATCGTCTTTGCCTTCGCCGGCGGCGGCGGCGGCTGCACCGGCGCAGGTTCAGGTGCAGCAGCAACAGAGCCCGGTGGTGGGTCCGAGGCCGGCACCAACGTACTCGGTGGTGAATGCTATTATAGAGAAGAAAGAAGACGGCCCCGGGCCTAGGTGTGGTCACACCTTGACCGCAGTCGCCGCTGTCGGGGAAGAGGGGACTCCTGGCTACATTGGTCCGAGGTTGATTTTGTTTGGTGGTGCGACGGGGCTGGAGGGAAATTCTGCCACCACGGGGACTCCTTCATCTGCCGGGGGCGCTGGCATCCGTATGTATTGAGATTTTATTAAGTTTTTCCATTTCGGTTTTCCATGCACATTCCGTCCACCCAGGTTGCAATCTCTGCGATTGATTTGTTCATGGGTCTTAGGAACATGAGGCAGAACTCTTTATTAGGCTGTGGAAATTCTGAATTAGGTAGAGGAGTTTTAGGGAAGCTGCCTACGGTTAGTTCATTTGTCTCTGGCTTGCATTGGAAATTAATATGTCAACAGCAGCAGTTTTTATTTGGCTGGGAGGCGATTTAGAGGGTGGATATATTGGTGTTCAACGCTATAGGAAGGTAGCAGAATTTTAGTTGCTATAGTTATGCTAGCATCTTCAGAGTAGGGTACGGGTTTAGTTGTGAGAAAAACATTCTGATCAACTTAGCCGTATCTTGTAAGCTAGAAATTGGATGTGTCTGGCAAATGATTTTAGTGATGTTTTCTTTTTTGATTCCTTCATTACTGGGTCTGGCTTTCTGGACTCGTCACATAGCTGTTTTTTCGGAATGTATTATGGTTTCCTTCGGAATGTAACAGTCTATCCATTGTCCGTACTTTGAGCTTTGCTCATGTTTATTTAACTAACCATTAGTGTGGTATGAATTCATTGATGTCGAGTTACTGAATAGTTATAGAGTTGTTCACCTGTGCCGTTAATTTTATGTATATACCATATTTTAGCATTATCCCTGCTTCGGAATATAGCAATAAGCTTCTTTAGTTGCTCCGACTAGTGTTGATTATGAACTCTGAGGTCTTTGAGTGTCAAAGTTTCACTCCTTTGTTTTACTTTGTTTTGCTCTGATTCAGGATTGTCAGGGGCCACTGCTGATGTTCATTGTTATGATGTACTGTCAAATAAATGGTCGAGGTAATCATTGTCTTTGGGGTGATGGTTTATTATGCTCTTGAGGATCCTTTTGCATTCTGCCACATTCTTCTTATGCTTATTATAAGCTTATTATCAGGATTACACCTATCGGAGAACCACCTACACCCAGGGCTGCTCATGTAGCAACTGCTGTGGGAACCATGGTTGTCATTCAGGTCAGCATATTAGATATTATCCTGCTGCAGAATATTAGGTCAGAGTTTAATTTTAATACCCTTGTATGTCACGTATAAGTTGATACTAGTCTTGTAATCCTACTTAGGGTGGAATTGGTCCAGCTGGTTTATCTGCTGAAGATCTTCACGTTCTCGACCTCACACAACAACGTCCACGATGGCATAGGTTGGACTTCCTACTGCGTGGTTGCTCATTAGTTTTCTTTAGTATGTGATTTTTTTTATTGAAATTCTTACTCATCTATTGTAGAGTTGTTGTTCAAGGCCCTGGGCCTGGGCCACGATATGGCCATGTGATGGCATTGGTGGGTCAACGGTATCTCATGGCGATTGGAGGGAATGATGGTGAGTGTATTTATTTACTAAGTCTATGATACCTAAAACATTTCCATCATAACGTATCTCATTTGCATAACATTCTTCTCCCTCCTTTTCAGGGAAAAGGCCTTTGTCTGATGTATGGGCCCTTGACACAGCAGCAAAGCCTTATGAGTGGCGGAAGCTGGAGCCAGAAGGGGAAGGTCCACCACCGTGCATGTAAAAGTCTTCCACTATTTAATCACCTTTGCATATGACAAGGGCCACATATATCCCATTTTATTACGGTTCTCAGCTTGTTATAGAATTTTGGAAATTGAACTTGTTTTGGCTTCTGTGTTGGCAATGGTGGAGGTCTTCCTGAAGTAATCTAAACTCGAGTGATTGGAGCGAATTGTTCATGTATAGCAGAAGAAGAAAAAATTCTTAATTAGGAGAGTTTTTCTTTTGTGTGGAAAAAGTTACAAGAGTTCTTAAGTGATTACGATAAAATTCTCTGGATGCCTAAAGTCCGTTATTTTCACAAATGGGAATGTGATATGACATGTTAACTAGGATGTTTGAGCTATCTGTCAATCGTTTTTTTTTAATTAGGAATATGGTAATTGCTCATTCATTTTATTTGAGACACTGTTCATTTTTTTCAAATTACATTCATTAGTTAATTAGTAGTAACGGGTTGAGTCTCTAAGGTCTAATGGACTAGGATTTGTCGAATATGGATAGGGTAATTTTTTTTGTTTGTTTAAACAGAGGCAAACGGAAACTCATGCAATGATATTTATAATGAATCCCGATGAAAATAAAAAGAATTACCTTAAGGACGATAGCTGCAGGGTTTCGCATTAATTGAACCGGCAGACGTTTTTCTTACTTGATTAACAAAATATTGCTGTATTATGCTATTATTCACTATACAAGCCATATAAACAAATATGATCATCTGTGGTCCTTTTCTTTAGCTTTCCTACTCTTCTCTTGATTTAGCTTATCATGACACGATATTCTTGTGTTCGTTTCTGTCTGACTAGGTATGCCACTGCAAGTGCTCGGTCAGACGGTCTTCTGCTGCTTTGTGGGGGGAGAGATGCAAACAGTGTGGTTAGTATAGTGGGACTTATCTTCTGTTTCTTTGTCTTACAATACAGGTGCGGTGTTTGGTTGCCTTCTATGCATGAAGGAGTCATTTAATGCATTTTGTCCAATTATTTGGAGAGATAATGGCTTCTTTTTCCTCCGGTGGGCCCTCATTGAGTCGGATAGCCGAGACTCAGTTGATACCTAATTATGCAAAATGGTGGCTTGTTTTTGGAATCTTAATTAGTTGTACAGCATATACTTGAGGTTACAGATGTGATGGTTCATACCTCTGTGTCTTGCATCCTAAAATAAAATTTACCTTAAACGGCCAATTTTTCGTCTTCTTCCATCTTAATTATTATGCCTTTTATTCTTACTCTAAATTTTTGGTATTCTTGACCTCTCGCTTTCATTTCTTCTGATTTTGTTTGGGGTAGAATTAGACTATTTTGGAACTATTTCTGGCATTTTTCTTCAGTTCATCGATGCATTCTCTCTATTTATCAGCGTGGTCGTATTTATTGGTCTGTCACAAGTGGGGTTGTATTTCTTCTTTAAAGTAGACTACCGATTCTGCTACTTATTGTAAATCCATGTATCTTTATTCTTTTCTGCATTCATCATTATTCACATTACTGTATCTTTTGTAACTTGCAGCCATTAGCAAGTGCATATGGACTTGCTAAGCATAGGGATGGCCGCTGGGAATGGGCAATTGCTCCTGGTGTTTCTCCATCTTCGAGATACCAGCATGCAGCTGTGGGTTACTCTAATGTTATTTCATTTGACTATGTGGTTTAAAGGATGAATAACTAACCAAGGGTTATCTTTTACAAGGTTTTTGTCAACGCTAGACTTCATGTGTCGGGAGGGGCTCTTGGTGGAGGTCGCATGGTAGAGGATTCATCAAGTGTTGCAGGTATGCAATCTGATCATGTTTTTCTGTATCTGTAAGATAAGGTGTGCCTGGGAAACTAGCCCACATAGTTCTTGGTTGGTCTGTCTTTACACTTTGGCGCAATATGTAGATAGCTTTTGACTGCTGAGGAACACTTGGTGAACTTTGTTAATAATCATTTATTCTCAAGCATGTCATATTCTTTTGCTTTTAGTGCTGGATACTGCGGCTGGAGTTTGGTGTGATACAAAATCTGTGATTACTAGTCCAAGGACCGGCAGATACAGTGCTGATGCTGCTGGTGGAGATGCTGCAGTTGAGTTAACAAGGCGCTGTAGGCATGCTGCTGCTGCAGTTGGTGACTTGGTATTCATTTATGGTGGTTTACGTGGTGGTAAGAACTAAACTTATTAGGCAATACTGTCTGTGTTTCTCTGTTTCTTTTGAAGGAGAAGTAACTTGTTAGGTACCTTTTCCATTCCTTGACCACCTCTGGGATTTATGGTGAAAAGCTTTTCATATTGAACCACACAGGAATGAGTTGTATTGGAAGGGGAGAAAAGTGAATGTGGATTGACATGACCATTTCTCGTCTGAAATTTCATGTTAAGGGGATGAAGGAAGGTTCTTTGAATTACCATGAGTGTCCACCCTTGTTACTATGAGCGGGATGATTAGCTTTTGTCAGTGTCAGGGTGTAAAAAAAAGTGAGGGATTCGGAAGAATCTGGCCGGGTGATTTATTTTTTGGTAAACAGGAAAAGACAAACAAACAGATCGGAGAAGAATAGATGCTTGATCTTTCCCTTATTAAAGATTTTACTTGATTATGTCGGGTTCTATCATATTAAGGCAATTCTCCTTTCAGATCAGTTTCTTACTAGTTACTACATCATTATTTGACTACTTGGTTTAGTGAATTAGGATTTTTATGGAAGCCATGTTTGATTATGTCCGGTGGAAAGATGTTACGTCTTGGATGGAACTCATATTCTCTGCTGAATGCTGATGACGTGATAAAATTTTCTTTAATGATTTTAGGGGTTTTGCTTGATGATCTACTGGTTGCTGAAGATCTTGCTGCTGCTGAGACAACTAGTGCAGCTTCCCATGCTGCAGCTGCAGCTGCTGCATCTAATGTACCAGGAGCAAGGATGGGTGGAAGGTACGGGTTTATTGACGAAAGGAGGCAAACAATGTCTGAAGCATCAGCAGATGGTTCCGTTGTCCTAGGGAATCCTGTAGCTCCCCCTGTAAATGGCGATATGTACACTGATATAAGCACAGAGAATGCCATGCTTCAAGGAACACGGTAAGGCAGCTAGCTATTTTATGTGTTCTTGGTGTTATTAAATGTGCATGAGTGTGCCCCTTGATAATTGAAAAGCCTACTGAATGTGCATTGGTATACAGGAGAACGATCAAAGGTGTTGAATATTTAGTTGAAGCATCAGCAGCAGAAGCTGAGGCTATCACTGCAACTTTGGCCGCTGCTAAGGCTCGACAATCGAACGGTGAAGTTGAATTGCCAGATAGGGAGCGTACTGCAGAGGCCACCCCTAGTGGCAAACAGTTATCAATGATTAAACCTGATTCCATTGGATCAAATAGCATTCCTCCTGCTGGAGTTCGGTTACATCACAGAGCGGTCAGTGTAAATTTCTATATTAGTATTGAGTTCGAGCATATGCTAGTTTTAGCATACTTTAAACTGTTAGGCAATTGCATATTCTGTGATGTGATTTTTATATATTAATTTGCTACCAGGTTGTTATAGCTGCTGAGACTGGTGGAGCTTTAGGTGGCATGGTTAGACAACTGTCCATTGATCAGTTTGAAAATGAAGGTAGAAGGGTAAGCTATGGGACTCCTGAGAGTGCAACTGCAGCAAGGAAATTGTTGGACAGACAGATGTCTATCAACAGTGTGCCCAAAAAGGTAGAGATAATATTTCATGAAATTCATTGGATGAGAAATTGTAGATAGCTCTATAATGATGCTAGATGAGTTCTTCTGCAATGTATAAATGTTCGGAAACGGTAACCAGAATGCTCTCTGTGCTAGGTTTTACACTTTTACTTATGTTGAATTATACAGTTTTCTCTTATGGAAACTGGAACATCCTTGTGAGAGTTGGTAATGCCTGTCTACTAGGTGGGCTTGGCTTCGCTTATTGTATGGTCTTCTGGTCCCGCTCAAAACAGTACATTCTCCCTGTGTAGAAGATGTAAACAATGTTGGACAGATGGCTTGATATCATTATCCTTTGGTTGAACTAAAAGAAATTTTTGGAGAACGTGTATTTCTCACTTAGTATCTTTTGACAAATAAGGACCCGGTCAGCTATGTCACCATCAGAGTTTAAATCTATTTAACATACATAGATATCTTTAGTAGTCCCTTGGGTTTGTTTGCACATGATGATTCATTGTCAATTCTTGCAATGTTACGTTGGGTTCCCTGTGGGCTTTTGTTGAGAGGCATTGTGTGGTGTTAATTTATCCCTTGGTGGTTTAAATAATGCAGTCTCTACCATTATATTTGTCCCAGGTCGTTGCCCATCTTCTAAAGCCTCGTGGCTGGAAGCCCCCAGTTCGTCGGCAGTTCTTCTTAGATTGCAATGAGATAGCAGATTTATGTGACAGCGCTGAGAGAATATTTTCTAGTGAGCCAAGTGTTTTGCAACTTAGAGCTCCAATAAAGATATTTGGTGATTTGCATGGACAATTTGGTGATCTTATGCGTTTGTTTGACGAATATGGCGCCCCTTCAACTGCTGGTGATATTGCGTAAGTGCTTTTACTTTTTACTTCTTTCTTTTCCATTCAGTGGTAGTTTGTTATTTTTCTGTGGATTGTCTCGAGGGTAATTCTCATTTTCAACCGGATCATGTATTATTATATTTGTACCCAACTTGAAAAGGGAGGAACCATGGAGAGCTTGTGTCTGAAATTTGTACTGTTTGGAATTAATGCACGGTAAACTCCTTAAGATATTGGATGAGTAAGTAAACAAGGAAAGGAAGTTGAAACATTAGTTGCAAGTTCTGAACTGCTGATAACCTCAGTCCTGTTATGCTAGGCCGTCTGAAGAATTGAAAAGAAATATAATGAACTTAATACTAGAAGCTTCAAAATCAGACTGCAATTTGCAATTTTAGAGAGAATGCCGCCTGGATGAGTTGGGGTGAGAAGGTGCAAATGGAAAGTTATTTTGTGAGGTGATTGTCTTTGAGAGCAAATGATCCGGGCTCCAGGAAGATCCTTATAAGCTGATTAGTTCTGATGCTTTATGGTCTTCCCAGACGAAACTTCTAGATTTACAGAATTGTTTAATGTGGGCTCATCCATATTCGGACTTGTCTATACTGAATTGGACTATCTATACTGTTGGAAGTATTGTTATTGTGTAGTCAGGCGCTGTGATGAAGAGTCTAGCTTTGTCACAATGGTAGCGAGCATGCTTGTTAATTGATGATTCAATATGACTCAAAGTGGTTAAAGAGGGAGCTAAGAGATGTTACTTGTACAATTTGTGTGAGCTCCAAATCAGCAGTAGCCCATGATGTTGTAGAAGTTCAAATTGTTAATACCATCTTGTCTTGAACATCTTATGCTAATTGTATTCACTGCTGAATGATGTGATCGTTCATGTGATATCTTAATGCTATATATATATTTCATGTCTGTCAGATACATCGATTATCTCTTTTTAGGAGATTATGTTGATCGTGGTCAACACAGTCTGGAGACTATTAGCCTGTTGCTTGCTTTGAAGGTATGTTGAAATGTAGTGGCCCCTCGGCTTCCTCTTGTTGTTCCTTCTGTTATCTATTATAACTAGATTCATTTGTAGGTTGAGTATCCAAACAATGTGCATTTAATTCGTGGGAACCATGAAGCTGCAGATATCAATGCCCTTTTTGGCTTCCGCATTGAGTGCATTGAACGAATGGTATTGTCCCAAAAACCTTACATCTCTTCTCTTTCTCTACTGATTGTTAGTTTCTAATTAAATGGATTACTGAACCAGGGTGAGAGAGACGGAATCTGGGTTTGGCATCGGATCAATCGTTTATTCAATTGGCTTCCTCTGGCTGCATTGATCGAGAAGAAAATCATTTGTATGCATGGCGGTATTGGTCGCTCAATAAATCACGTTGAACAGATCGAGAACATTCAGCGTCCTATTACCATGGAAGCTGGCTCGATTGTGCTCATGGATTTATTATGGTTTGTGCTTGTATCTTAATTCGGTTTCTTTCTTTATGATGATGGATATCATTATTTTGTCTTCTGGTCGGTGGACTAATGGGTTCGCTTCTCTGCATTAGGTCTGACCCAACTGAAAATGACAGTGTGGAGGGATTGAGACCGAATGCAAGAGGCCCTGGGTTGGTTACCTTTGGGGTGAGAACTTGTTTCATTGCTGACAAATAGGATGTGCTCGTTTTAGTTTTGCTTAAAATTGAGTCTGTAGAAATGAAGAGAAGATGATTGAAAATAAAATTTTATTGATGATATTGCGTTTGGCTTAATTATTTGCAAAATTCAGAGTGAATTAAAAACTTATATCTAGAACTGTGTTTTGACTTTTAAATCTACTTTTGTTTTAGCGAAAACAAATGAATACACCCCATAATTTACTTTATAGTCATGTTTCGCTTAGCCCCTTTTTCGGGAAAAGAGCCTGTCTTTATTTATCACTTTGCCATTTGATAGATAATAATCACGATACATTTTCTTAGTGCTCTTTCCAGGTTTAAACAACAATTCACGTGCTTGTTGATTAGCCAATCTATTTGCAACATTTTGAGACTAGAGGCCGTACCCACAAAGCCTTCCATTATTTCTTTATTTGTATCAGGCTGTCTTTGTATTTTCACCATACTTTGAAATTTAGTATCGTTTGTTGGACTATCGATATTATTCTGACACCGAGTTGCAACTGCAGCCGGATCGAGTCATGGAGTTCTGCAGTAACAATGATCTTCAGTTGATTGTACGTGCGCATGAGTGCGTTATGGATGGCTTTGAACGTTTTGCACAAGGGCATCTCATCACACTTTTCTCTGCCACAAATTATTGTGGTAGGTTCCTTGAACTTGTTCGATCTTTCAACCTACATGGATGACTCAACATGGTTACGAGACATCGTTTTTTCACTTTGATGCAGGCACTGCCAATAATGCCGGGGCAATCCTAGTTTTGGGAAGAGATCTCGTTGTTGTTCCAAAACTCATACATCCTTTACCACCAGCCATGTCTTCGCCAGAAGCTTCGCCTGAACATATTGAAGATACGTGGATGCAGGTGACGTTGCATCTTCGTACTTGTCTTTCTACCTTTAGCTCTCATTTTAATATGTTCTATATTATGCTTATCCTGTTCCCATGTTATTCTTGGAAAGCAGGAGTTGAATGCTAACCGCCCCCCTACACCAACTAGGGGTCGTCCTCAAGTACCGAATGACAGGGGCTCTCTTGCTTGGATATAAATTAGATGCTATAATACTGTATTGGATATAACCCACCACCTGCCAAGTGTTCCAGTTACTTGTGCCACCACCATGGGATTTATGGTTGGCCTCTGTATAGAGCCTGAGTCGAGACATCTCGAACTTGTTGACCATTGTTGCTGATAGAAGTCTGTGAAGGCCTTGTGTGAATTTTCCAGTTTCACTGGTAAAACTGTGCAGGGCCATGAGATGACTAAGATGATTGACAATGGTCGATACGAATTCCAAGGGAGAGGAACAGAGCTGTGGTTGGCGCTGGCAGTTGTTAGGTTGATATGTTGTAGAAGACGCAAGTTTCCTCGGGTAGCCCTGCCCATTTGTATATCGAGCCAGAAGAAGCAGCAGGTAGAATGTCTGCAAGAGTTGGTGTTTTTTCCTTGCCCAATTTGATGAGAGTTAGTAGTGGTGCTTAGAATTCTTCTCAATAGTTGTCATATAATCTTTCTCAAGTTTCCCGAGTTTTCTTGTTTTAGGCTTAGATTTTTCTTGCCAATTATTTTTCCTTCTAAAGGGGGCAAAGATAAAGGTCCTTCATATGTGATGGCGAGATATATATAGTTAACCCTTTACAACACCTTTGGTGGGTTTACCCTTTGTATCATAGAGGTGTTTTGTGTAAGTTTCTATGCTTGTCCTTTGCCATTCTCAGAAGTGTTTGTTTCGTCAATTTTGGTGACGGTGTAATGTAGCATTCTTCGTGGTAAAGCTTATAGCGGGTTATTGCAGGTGTTTGTGATTGATTTCGGGCATCTCTTGTGGATTGTGATGCATATCTCTCTTAATATCTTGCTGAAGCATGGTTTGTGAATTGCATAGGATGCTATTAGCGACAGTTCAACCGCACATATTGACTGGTTAATACGCTATCTTACAAGAGCCCCCAGTTGGCAGTAGCATTTCGGTAATAGCCTTGTAAACCAAGTTATCGACCAAGGTCTTACGCGAAGCCAAGACTTGCCTTCGCCTTGAGATCTACAGCATGATGCACGAATCTTGACCATGGACCTCTACTGGATTTTTCGCCTTAGCACCTGGCCTCAAGTCATGTGCTTATGCTGGATTTTCTGCAGGGTCTCAAGTACAAGATCTCGAATGACAAGTCAGCGTCAAGCTTTGAGTTCCTATCAAAACAATTACCCTTTGAAAGTCGTGAACCATTGAGCGATGATCCAGGGCAAGCAACAATTTCCAACTTAAAATCATGACCTTGCAGTAATGTACCAGAAAAATCAAATAGATAGTACACTTTAGTGATCTCAATGAGGGTTCAAGGTATACCTATCATTCTTTGGATCAGGTTTTACCACCTACTTACACATCTCACAAGAGGTTCTGATATTCAGGTCTGGCTATAACTATAAGCTCCACAAACAGCAACCTTTTCATACGTCAGACAGTTTGTGCATTACACCTTGGTTTCCTTTTGGATTGACCTCTGTTGAGCCTAATGAAGGGTTGGGTTTAACCCAAGGAAAAGAAAATATGAAAGCGGCTGTTCAAATCGATATGGAATGGATGGCCTTCCTATAGCTAAATTGATACACAAGTACATATTTCTTAACCCTCCGAACAGCAAGAGGACACAGCCATCATCAATTCCTCCCCCGGCAGGTTCAGCACCCCTCAGCCTTTCTTCACCGGTCTCTGAACATACGATTTGTTGGGATCCTCTGTCTTCAGCTTTGGTGGGCGAATCTCTCCCTTTTTACCCTGCACAGGTACAGTAGCACCATCTTTATCCTTTCACATTACACCGCGCATGAACAAGAGAGATCTACAGACGTATCTGTACTCACCTTCTTCCCCGTCTTCATGAAATCTCTCCAGCTCGACACCTGATGGTCAACAGTGGAAACAAAAGATGAGAACGGAGTCAGCGAAGATGGTAAGTATTATCAGGTAAAAAAATGGGAAACCAGTCAAACCCTTTTTTCTCTAGTTCCTTCCCATTGCTCTTCGTGCTCTCGTTTTCTCTTCCACACCTCTTTTTGCTCTTCCTCATCTTTCTTCAGTCTACCTTCTTCTTCTGATAACTGATGACAACAAAAGATGCAGAAGGATCATCCGACTATGAAATTGTTCGTTTTATTACAAAATATTAAATTACCAACTGGTTGGTGAAACACAGTTCAGCATACCCTCATCTGCATTTTTCGCCGCCTCCACTCCTGGTCTGTCAATATTTCCCGAACTTTCAGTTTTAGCTGCTGTTGGAACTCATCCGACCTCTCAAATTCTTGTTCGTATTTCCCCTGGACAAATAACAGAATTATATTGTTAATGGATCCAAAGAAAGCCGAGTATAAGGAAAGCTAATAACAGTGCATGCCACAGTCCAAGGCCAGAACACCGGATCCTGAAACTGTTTAATAAGAAACTGGCCTATCAGAAAGGAATGCAAACCTAAAAAAGACTACACACCTCATCAACTAACGACTTTGCTTTGCTGGCAGCATCTTTCTTCATCTGCTTTCTCCTCTTTGCTCGAAGTTCTTCTGCAGTTCACACCAAGCTCCAAATTAAATATTAAAGACGAAAATGAAACACCTAGCATGCAACCAACCTGGGCAAAGCTTATCCAAAATCAGACAGTAATCACATCACCCTGACCTTTGGCTGCTTGTACTTGGCTGAGAACATAGTCTCTTTCCTGCTGATCAAGTAATAGCTCTTGGGCTTTCGCCAATGCTGTTCGCAAGCCAAAGATCCAATTGAGCAGCAATTAGTAGTACTCTAGATGTCAGAATGAATGAAAAGAGAAGTTACGATACCAGAATAGTTCTAAGATCAATTACTATTGTGTTTATATGATAGAGGTTTATTATATTAGAAAGCCAATTTTATTTGCTCTGCAATTTTCTACACAAGAATGCTAGCCCAAGTAGGTAAGGGTCGACATTTGTCCTTTACAGTCTGCATTACTTATCCCTTAATTTGGACGAGCATAGAAAAAGATTTTGAATCACAAAACTAGCTTCGTGCTGCCAAAATGAGTGATGCAGTTTGTCTTTGAGTCCATTACAAAGAAACTCACAGGTCGACTTAGCAATTTGTTTCCAAATTCTGATATCGTGTGTAAGACTCAAAAATATCGGAAAGTATCTCATTTTCTGTGTCTATGTCTACAAGGTGAAACCTTTGTATAGCCACAGTTACCGAGGCATTGGCTCAACTGAAACAGGGTTTAGAAAAGTGACCACTTCATTGGAAGTGTCCAAACATTCAGGAAGAATATAATCACTGCAAGTCCCAATCAAAGCTTATAATCTCTCTATGGACAACCGATCAACTAATACTGGGATCGAGACCCTCAACTAGTTTTCTACGCTGAAATTGGTGAGAAGACATGCAAACCTTAGTGATCTCAAGACTAGGAGGATAAGAAAAATTAAGTTACTGGATTATCTTTAGGCCATCCTGATAACATTAAAAAACCAAATGTAGCGGACATACCACCAAAAGCTTCTTGTGCCTTCGGATGCTTGCATTTGTCAGGATGAACCAATAAAGATAGCTGCACGGTTCATAACATGCAACAAGTTAAATCATAGCAACTTAATGAAGCAATATATCACCACCTTTCCACGGTAGGAAGAACGTTACCTTACGATACTGCTTTTTCACATCATCTGGAGATGAATCAAATGATAAGTTTAGATGCTCAAATGGATTTAATTTGAAGCAAGAAAGGATCCTGCAGAGTCAAAATTTCCCAAATACATCAAATTAGCGAGAAGGCAATAAGTAAGCCATAAGACCAAAAATCATTAGTTATAGGAAACCATGGAAGTGATCAATCTCGTTAAGTTATCAAAATTCAGCAACTTGGTTCATAATGTAGATGTCTTCTCATCTTTGGACAAAGAAACACACCTCAATTCTCACAAAGAAAGAACCAAACTTTACAATTTATAAAAATAAATAATGGCGAAACACGACCACGAGAAAGCACCAAGGATCGCCTGCGAATGTAATCTATGGCGGAGAAATCCTCTGCTAAAAAATCCCGAAATTTCATCACAGTTGCCAGTCAGAATTTTGAAAATTTTGACGAGCTATTATCCATATCAGCCTGAAAGCAGCTCCGAAACCCTAACCGCGTGATCAATTTCAACTGAATTGGAAATGAATAGTTCGGCTGGGAACAGGGAATATCAGGGGGGAAAAGAGGAAGAGGAGGAGGAAAGAGCTGAGTGGAGACCTGAGGACTTCGTTATCCCTCTCGACTTCGCTGACTTCGGCGAAGAAGCTCTTGAGAAGATACTCGTCGGCGGCGGCCGTCGCGGCGGTGGTGGCAGAGGCTTCTCCCATCGGGTTATTTCCTTTTGGCTGAGCTAATGGTGCGCTGCGTTTTCTTTATTTTGTGATAAATAAATACTCTGTTTAATACACGTATATGTACCCGTACGTAGTTTATTCGTTTAAAATTTATTCGTTTAAAATTTTCGTATTAGTTTATTCGTTTAAAATTTTCGTATCCGTATTAGTGTCAAGTCGTTTCATTAATTTTCGTTCATTTGACAGCTTCCGTACTAAACACGTATAAAACCCATATAACACGTTTAATATCCGTATTTAATGAAATAAATTATTAACTTTACTATTTTTTATGTATTTATAAAAATAATTAATTTTATATATTTATGACTATTACATTTTCGTACCGTATTTTACTAACTATAGTGATCAGAGAAGGGAGAAAGGAGAATGACCCGCGAACACCGATTTTTTCAAACTAGACTGGGATTGGTACCGAATATAATTTCTACACGGCCGAGTTATGTGGGTTGAGTCGGCAACTAAATTGTCTCCGACTGGAAGTTTGGTACCGGAATTTAAGAGAGAGTCGATGCTTTTCCGGCACGACGACGGAAAAGATTTTTTGACGATTGGAGATTTTTCGCCGATAACGACATTTTTGTTATGTTTGTCGGGCTATTTTTTAATGTTTGTAATTTTGTATTAATTTGGTTTGTATCATTTATTATTCTAGTTTGTCATTTTTATTATGTTTGTAATGTTTATATTATTAATTTATATATATTGTAATTTATAATGTTGTTTGTCTAGTTTGTATGTTTTAAGTTGTAATTTGTATACTTTGTATCCATTAATTTGTAATATAAGTTTACTGATTTGTATTGTTTTTCTCTTTAATAAAAAATTGTTGATTTGTATTGTAAGTATTGGTATTTTGCATTGTTAGTAGTTTTGTAACCTTTGTAAGTTTGTAACTATTTATGTCTTCCTGAGTGTAAGAGTGAGACACGGGGGTTAGGGTTGATAACCGGTAGCCTATTAGTCGGTTAACTCGACAACCGAACAGAAAAACTAATACAAATAACTAATCTAAGAGGGAACCATCAAAACTTGAGAGCAAACGACAAAATTAGGGTTACCTCCAATATACTAATAGACTTTATCAAAGTCATAAGGCACAAAATTAGACACTCCTTATCTATTAGTTCAGTAGGTTGAATAAAGAATCGACCTACTTCAGTAAATCAATCAATGATTCCTCGTTTTAAGATATAGATAGGTTGTGGTAGCTGCAAAAACCATAAACCTAAAGAGCCAATAGCCACCACTCTCTGTTGAACGACCAGATTTGTATCCACTATATCTTAAATCTCAAGAGGCATATGTTTCAACCAAACATTCACTTTTTAATTCTCTTTTTGCAACTCCATTTCTGCTACTTTGATGGACCTTTTCGCTGTGGCCCTTAATTTCTCTTCAAATTGGGGTTCTTGTCAACTCGCTCTTCAGCTCCTCAATCTTCTTCTTGTGTTTTGCCAACTCATCTTCCTTAGGGGCAGTAGTAATAAGTTCGCTTAAACCAACACTCTTTCTTGTACTTAACTGTGAATGACATATGTGTTTGAATTTATGCTTGTATCACTTTGATGGCGATGTTTGGTTGTGCATCCACCAAGTGTATGATATTATCAACCACAAAGCTTGAATCAAGTTGGTGATAGTCTTGGACAAGTGTCTCAGAACTGCAAGTATGATTGTTTTGCACTTTACGAATAACCCTAAAATCCCTATCACCCAACAATGTAGCTCGAACATTCCAACCACATCCTTCGTTCACCTCCTTAATTTCCATGAACATGCAATTATAAAACTCAAAATCTTGACTCATTGCCTCCCTTTTCAAGACCATCTGGAATACTTTTTTTGATAGGAAATGTCATATTCACTTGGAATTGAGTCGATGGATCCCACACTGGTATAGATTGAATCTATGAGTTATCGGTGTGAGCATACATTAGACCTGGTGGAAGTATTGTATAGTGTATGATGGAATTAGTAATTTGATTTGTATTGGGGAATGACAAGTTGACTGGAACTAATTAACTGAATGGTTAAAGATCGTCCTAAAAATTACTAATCATCGTCCTAACTTAATATGTAATTTACCAAATTGCCCATTTTGAATTTCAAAATCAAACACAAAACAAACAACCCTTCCCCCTTCCATAAATCTAAAAAAATATAAACCAAAATCCAACAAATTATCTTATGGACCGAACCATAAATCGTAGTAAAAGAATAGAAAATTATTGATATAAACCAAACAAATCCAAAAAAACCCAAAACCCCTCAACCGAAGCCAATTTTCGGTTGTACCATGGCTCAACCTAAGGCAATTTTCGGTTGTACCATGGACCAACCGAAAATTGTCTTCATTTTTTTTTACTTAAAGTGATGTTTGTTTGCTAAAAATGCGAAAAGGTTAAAAGTGTAACTTTGTTATTTTTTAGGACGATCAATAGTAATTTTAAGGATTTGTTTATGCCACGATCAATAGTAATGTTGGTTATGCATTTCATTTTTGTTATTTTTCTGGATAAAAACAAATTAAGTAAAATGTTAAATAAATTTGAAACTTGAAAGGAGTTCAATAAAAGATAACAAATCGAACGAGAAAGAAATAAAACACAAAGTTGGGCAGCTTGGTATCGATCAATGGGCGGTTGGGTTGCCTTTTCATATCAAATTAGTTCACGTCATTTCCTCAATGTCGGGTGGACCAATTAAGAGAGTATGCATTAGGCTGCACTTTTAATAGCGACATCGTAATATTGACCCTCTAGAATTGCTCTTTGCTTGCTCGCAAGCCCACAACTTAAATAGGCTTTCAATGTCCTTGCTCGGTTCGACCCATCTTCCCAATGCACACCCTCACTCTTCAGATCATCGAAAGCGGATGCTCTGTAGCATGGTTGTCACACCGGTGGCATGTCGGTCGGTACAACCGAGTTCAACCAATTCCGGTTATAATACTAGCTAAAATCTATATGGTATGATCGACATGATCAGTGTCCAATCTTAAAAGAAATGATGCCTTTTTTGGTGAATTAATTAGCTGGGAAATACTTTTTATTTGTTTTTTTAATTTGAAAGTTTAATGTTGATGTTATTTGTATAGATTCGGGTATGAATATTTAGATGTTTATCTTATTTGTTGTAATAAAGTATAAGCTTTTGAATATTGACAGTAAATGTTGTCTTTAAATATTTGATTTTTTATTTGTTTGAAATGTTGTATTTTATTCAAATATGGGTGTAGATTTTAGAGAGATTGTCTTCAAATATGTTATATCTGCCTAAATTCATTTAATGCTATTGACCCACTTCTTTACACATTTTGCTAAAACCAACATGAACTCGAGTAAATCGGTTGTATAACAGGTCAAACCAACTAGAGGTGGCAATTGGATCGGATTCATGGATTCGTGGATTGGATTGGTGGATCCATGGATCAAATGGATTGGATCCAATGTATTGGTGGATTCATGGATTGGATCAAATGGATTGGTGGATTGATCCATTAATCCAAATAACATCAAAGGCTTGGACCAAAATATAAAATTTGAAAAGTTTTGGTACTAAAATGTCATAATGAAAAATTTTAAGTACCAAAATATAATTTTCCAATGATATTTTTCGTATAAAAATATAAATTTTAGGTACCAAAATGTAAAATATAAAAAAATAGGTACCAAATCGTAATTTGCCATTTGGATCATGGATTGATCCATGAGTCCACCAATCCAATTGGATTTGGATCAAATGGATTGGATTTAAATGGATTGGATTAGGTGGATAATTTGGTGGATGGATTGGATTGGATTCATGGATTTGGATCCTAATTGCGACCTCTAAAACCAACCATTTGTCAAACGACATAAAGATAGGGTAATTCGCATAAAAAGCCACAAACCTTTGCACTTAGTACAAAATGGACACAAATCTTTAATTTGTAACGATACGGTAGCAAAAGATTGAAATGATCACTTTTGTTTAATTTGTGACCGTTTTGTATTAATTGCAAAAAAAAAATTGCCGAGTCGTTACAAATTAAAGGTTCGTAATCGTTATGAGGTCGGATAGTGTGTTTATCAAATATATGATACTAACCACTTGAACGAAATATGAGATGTCGGGTCCTATGTTCATCGATGTACTTGCTTTGCCGAATAAAATTGCTCTTTATTTACCTTCCAATTTCAAAACCGATAAAGTATGAAAGTAGGCCCAGTTTTTTCAACTAAAAAACTGCATGTAACCCATTTGTGAGGCTTTGAATTCCTCACTGTCATTCTTTGTTTTTTTAGAGTACTGTCATCTTTTGTTTATATATCATTCACATAAATTAACAAATTCACCATACCTCAACTGGAGCGAACTGTAACAGTGATTGGTCGTTCAAAACTTTGAACATTGTACAAAAAGGTCACCAAAAGCTTAATTTGTAAGCACACGGTAACAAAAGTTTGAACTTACGGTAACAAAAGTTTGTATGTGTATGAAATGCTCACACTGTTTAATTTGTGACCATTTTGTTAAAGTACAAATTTCTGATACCATATGACGACAAATCAAAAGTTTGTGACCATTTTATACTAAGCGCAGAAATTTACAAACATTTATGCTAATTATAGGGGTGTACATGGGTCGGTTGGTTCGGGTTTAACCATTTTAATCACCCGACCCATGCACTACGGTTTGGGAATTATCAAACTCAAACCCACCCAAAAAAATTTAAACCCTACGGACTACGGTTTGTTTCTAATTGGGTTGGGTCGGGTTGGCGATATTTTTAAATAAAACCCAACCCAACATAAAATATATAATTATTATACATCATAAAAATATTTTATAACAAATTAAAATTTCAAACGAATAAACCGAGGTGAAAGGTATCAAAATTCAAAAATGTTATTTGAATTTTAATAAAATGTGATTTACTTCAACATATGTCTAGTTTTTTCACGATATTTGTTGAAATAGGCTAAAAAGGTTATAAACAAACGCATCCATAATATATCATTCTATTAAAATTGTACACAAGAAAAAGGATTACGTGAATCAAAACTATATTCAATTTAAATGTCTAAACTTTAAGTCGAAGAATGCATTAGGCCAAGTCCAATGCAAAACCCCAAATATAGGGGCCTTGAACCCCAAATTTGGGGATTGGACCCCATTTTCCTTTCTTTTGCTCCAATGCAACAAACTGCATATTTGGGGTTCTTAATATTTCCAGTTTTTCCATTTATTGAAAAATGTACTTATCGAAACTTTAACATAATTTGTTCATGTTAATTTTTGTATAGTTCGTCATCATTTTTAAATACAAATTTTTCGATAGAATTTTGTTAAATTTCGAGACCGAATTTTTTTTAGCAAAAAATTATGGACCTAATTTGGGTTTACACACAACACTTGCTAATCATAAAGTTTAAATATTACACACAACACTTGAATTTACAAACACATTTTCATTTCCATAATATAATTTCCATTCTTAGTTCGATCTAATTTTTGTTTACACACAACTTAAAGATGATAAACATAAATTTTAAATAAAATGAATTCAATTTAAGTCATCTTAGAAAAAAAGCCTAAATACAAAAATATTAAACACAAATTAAATACAATCTAAAAAGCCTAAATACAAACATAAATTTAATTCCCCTTCCCCTAATTAATTCAATTTAATTCCCCTTCCCCTAATTAATTACAACTCCTTTAATAATTCCTCTAATTAACTCGGCAATAATTAATTACAATTGCCTTAATCAGATTCCCTAATTAATTACAACTCCTAATGGCCTTAAATAATAAGGCAACAATTAAAAAAAAAAAGAAACGTGCTGGGCGGCACAGCCGCCGGGGCTGGGCGGTGCGCCGCACGCGCAAGGGAGAGACTCTCTCCCTTGCGCGTGCGGCGCACCGCCCAGCCCCGGCGGCTGTGCCGCCCTCGGCCTCCATAAATGCCGAAATCGGCAAACGCTCCCCCATATATAGCGATCCAATTGCCGATCGCCTCCATAATTGCCGATTTTCGGCATTTATTTCTCTGCGTTGGAACTCCCCGATCGCCATTAATGCCGACAACCCCATAAATGCAGGCTGCATTGGACTCAGCCTTAGATTAGGGAGACCATGATAGAAAAACATGGTGAAATATCTTAGGGGTCGTTTGGATGAATCATTTCCAAAATGAGACAATTTGACTCAAATGTCTCATTTTAGAAAATGAGGTAATTGTATGAGAAATTTGTACACAATTGTCTTGTTTGGCTAGTTATTTGACATGAGACAATTGGAATGAGGTATTTTCTCAAATTACATGTTTACCCTCATTATTTTACCCTTCTCCGACTTCCTCTCTTACTCGTCCTGACCAGAAATTTCCAGAACAAGAAAGAAATCCGACCGACTTGACAAGGAAGAAGGAATCCAACCCCGCCCAACTTGACGAGGAAGAAGGAATTCTGACACCGCCCCACTTGACGAGGAAGATGGAATCCGACCGCCATCTCTATCGCACCGCCTCATCTGTAGTCACCATCGTTGTTGGAAGAAGGAAGAAAAAACCAATTACAACTTCTTCTCCTTCTCTTACATGCCCACACACAACAAACCAAACCCCATGATTGACCATCCAAAGAACCCATAAATCAAACGCTTAAACCTCTGATTCAAACAATCAGATTTCCCCTAAATCAAACAATCAAAAACCCCTAAATCAAACAATCAAAAACCCCTACGAAACCTAGGTCAAGCCACAAATTGCTAACATGCAAAACTCCTTCCTCTACCCCAACGCACCCAGATTGTCCACGTTCGCCTTCCAATTTCACCAGTGGCAATGTTTGGCAATGAATTTCTCCCTTCTCCACCGGTCATTGGAATTGCATTGCAGCACCATCGTCAGTGTCCTCTGCATCCGCATCACCGTCGCCATCATTAGAGCGCCATCAGCTCACGGATCGAGCGATTCGGGTGAGTGAAGCAGCATCAGCGATCTTCAAAAAAAAAAAAAAAAGAGAGAAGATAGTGATCTGTTCGTCGATGCAAAAAAAAAAAAGGAAGAAAGAAGACCCGAGACCGAGAGAGAGGCAGGAGGAAAAAGAGGAAAGGTTGTTACAGAGAGGAGAGAGGCAGAAAGAAGCGAAGGTCTCAATTGGAAAGGGGTGGCCAAAAACGCGTCAAAGCAGATTGCCTGCCCCCCACCCAGGTTTTTCAAATTGACCCATAACGAAGCAATTACAATTACCCCGGCCCAAATTGTTTCGTTTTACTTTTGTGCTGCCAAATGGGTCAATTTGGCCCAATTGTCTCATTTTGAGTCAATTTGGACAAATTGACCCATCAGAATGTTCCATCCAAACGACCCCTTAATTTTCTCATAAGTATGGTTATATACGACATAAATATCTTTAGATACGAATTCATACTAATAGTTGGAACACGGGTTGGGTCGGATTCTACGGGTTGTGTAATCCAAAATCCAAACCCAACCCAAAAGAGGCGGGTTGTAGAAAAGAAAACCCTCACTCAACCCAAAAACTTCATTTTAGCGATAAATACGTGTGAATTGGACGAGTGGGTCGGTTCGCGGGTGTGTTTGTTCACCCCTAGCCATAGTTAGTAAAATACGGTACGGGAAAGTTACGTAAAAAATACGTACGGATAATTTACGTTGTCGCTAAGCTAAAGTTACGTTTAATAGTACGTTAATAGCAATAAATATATAAAAATTAATTGTTTTAAAAATAAATAAATATATAAATAATAGTAAAGTTTACAATTTAATTCATTAAATACGGATATTAAACGTGTTATACGGGTTTTATACGTGTTTAGTACGGGAACCATCCAATGAACGGAAAAAAATGAAACGGCTTGACAATCATACGGATACGGAAGTTTTAAACGGATAAAGTACGTACGGGTACATATACGTGTATTAAACGGAGTATTTACTAACTATGCCCCTAGCTAATTACACCAACCTTGCTCTCTAGTCTCTACTCTCTGGTCTTTACTCTCTGGCTCTCTGCTCTAGTCGGCAGAAAACAGGGGTAGAAAAGGAAAAAATGAAAAGGAAAAGATGGCGGGCTAAATCAAAATTTCTCATTTCAAATGCCGTAGCGTTTCTCTCTCTATCTCCATCTCCATCTCATCATCTGAAATCTCCGATCTCTTTCGGTCGTCCATTCTCTCTCCTAAACCAGACAGGCAGGCCGCCCGGCGGCACTGCAGCGGGCGCAAATGGAGTCGCTCCGCCTTATCTGTGACCAAACCATACCCCGTGCGCGGGAGAGAATGGACTCCTTTGAGGAAGAATTCGCCAGTTCCCTGGATTCAATCAAGGCCAAAGCCGAATGCACCGCCCAAACTCAAGGTAAGCAAGCTAAACTGCTGATATTCTCGCGTTTCTGTTTCGAAGCTACTTGAGAGAAAGAGAGAGAGTGTGTGTGAGCTTGGGAGGCGCTAGGGTTTAGGGTTTTGGAGGCTGCTTCTGGTCTAATGTGCGGTTGGGGATCCATCGTTGCTTAAATTTTCTCGACTTGGTGCAGGGAAATTATGGAAGCTGAAGTCCAACTTGAGAGATGCCGAAGATGAATTTGTGAAAGTGCTCTCAGGTTCGTCTCATATCCTTGTAAATTCTGAGTTAAAATTTTCAGTGATACAAAGTTACGCGGGTCTTGAAGGGAATGTTTGGTCCTGGTACCCCAAGTTGACCCAAAATTATCACTTCCTCTGCCATCTCTAACTGTTTTCGTATCAATTATCAGAATTTCTTCAGGTGATAGTTGAAAACTTAACTATTCTTGAATGGGATATCTTGTGTAGTTTGCCCTGATGGGAAATGATGGATTTTTATAGTAATTTACCGAACTTGTCGTTTGCCTACAGTGAAAACCCAGAAAGAGGCAAAGCAGATGCGACTAAGAGACTCCATATCTGCTGTAAGGGATAGATTAGAAGAACTTAGAAAGACACTGCAAATTCAAAAATCAAGGAGGGACGAATATGCTGGAATTATATCTCAATTATCTCTTGGTGATTTGCTTATCTTCTCCCTATCTTGCTGTTTCTATATTTCCTGTTCAAATAGTCTTATGACTTTTATTGGTGCATTTACTGTCCATTGTTTTTTTGCTGCCAATCTCATTTAGGTTCTCGGTTTCGTTAGGATGATCATGTTAGTGAGTATAAATGACTAATCATCCACTTAATGGTTGAACATAATGATCACTGCGATGTGAGTTTTTGAGTGTGCCTTATCAATGTGCTTGATGTATGAGGAATTGAGGGAATTCAACTGGAGATCGTTCTTGTAGTTGTATGATTGTTTACTGCTGCCTTTATATTGGCAGATTCACTAGAATGCTATTCGCCACAGCTTAGTCAGTATCGCGCCTGCTGGCTAAAAAAGAGCTATAGTTAAACCTAGTATAATTTGAGCTTTGCCATATAACAGGTTACCATCATCATTCATCAACTACAAGCAGGATAAAAAGAACTATAGTCAGAATCTAGTATTTATGAGCTTTGCGTTCTACACAAAAGAAGTGAGTTTCTGGATGAACTGTTAAAAATACCTTCACTGTATGTGATTATGTCGTAATGCCTCTCATTCTTGACTGCTGACCACATTGGACGACTGTACTCTGAATGAGTTGATTGTGTTGAATACACTCTCTACCAATTTACTATGTTTCTATTGAAAGTTCTCTCTTCTGACTAAAATTTTGGAATGCTCCATCTTTTGCTTGTGCGACATATGAAGACAAAGGGACCCAGGACAATCAACTTAGAGGAGAAACTCAAGAGGCATTGCTATGGTATAGTAGGGTTCTAGGCCTCCAAATCGAAGGCGGCCACGGTAAATATGGCTGCTGTATGACTCTTGAGTTTTGTTTTCTATAGTATAGTTTGCATGATGAATAACTTTTCATTTGTGTAGGTGTTAAATTCACGTTCAGAAACATCAATGTGAAACATCCATCTGAAGAATACTCCTTTACTGTACGCCATGAAAATGATACATACAGCTGTAAGTAACATCTATATTTTGTCAATAACGTGTGTGGAGTTCCAATCTTAATCATGTATACCTTCCTCTGTAACTGTGCAGTGTTGGCTTGTGATCCACAATTGAATGATACCAAAGAGTTGATCCATGAGTTGAATAGAACCAATGGCTTATTCAAGTTTGTCAGAACAATGAGGGAAAAGTTTCAAGAAGCTGCATTATCTGGTATTTTAGTGCTTTGTTACGTTTCATGTTCTCTTTCTCGTTGATGATTGCATAATAGGAGAAGCGAGGACCCTCATTTTCACGCTGTCAATTGCTTTCTTTTTACAGTCTGGTTTAAGCATGGAATCGTAGACAAGTTTTGAGCATTTTTTTTTATAAATAAGTAAAAACTTGTATGCTTTTGCGTTGGCAAATTATACTAAAACTGTTCCCACCAGTAACTGATATATGCTCCTTTTGCATTAGGATTTTTGCCTCAATCCTCAGCTCCTGAACAGCAAGAGCTGTCCACGATATCTGCATCCGCTCCAGTTTTGTCAGTTTACACTGACCATAGTGATTCTCCGACTCGGAGAGAGGAGTGCTCAGATGATGCCAGGAGGCACCCAAAGAAAGCCAACCGTGGAAGAGTGGGCAGAAAAAAATTATTATCACCAGAGTCTATTCGCCAATCCCCTCGTTTACTGGTATCTCCAAGAGTCTAAGACAACTCCTGAAATTCTGATATAAGCTCTTTGAGAATTATTATACCAATATAAGCCTATGTTGTTAATGAACGAAAGAGTAAACCAGCTTCAGTTTCGGCTATGCATACCCCATGGCTATCTGATTGGGACAGAAGCTGGAACCGGATGGCCTTCTTAATTTCATTGTCAATAAGCATGAACCTCGTACTGATGTGACTCATTCGCCTCGTAGCGAGTCTTAACACTTATGAGTCTGGTTTATTTTGCTGGATTGCTTATATATTAGAACATTCGAATTTTATCGAAATTTAACAGAAGATCATTGAACAGGGCAGGAAATGATGATGGCGATGCAGTTCATCTCACCTCGGATCCTGATGAAATGGTACGTGCATCATGTTGCTACCAGCTCCTTAACCCAGTTCTTTTCACTTTGTCGCTTAACCGTTGATTGCTCTTATCATCCATATGTTTCAGTCTTCAGGTCATTCAGCAAGCTCCTTATCTCCGACTCTGTTGATAGCGAGTATCAGTCCCCGGTGTGTAGTGCTAGTTCAGTTATACCTCGGCATCACAGTACGCTAACAAGTGAACGTTTTCCCGGAGTTCTGAGACTCGGCTTGCCATTCAACGGTACGCCTCAAAATCCGCCCCAACGTAATGTATTGGTATCGTCCATTTCGTTGCAGTTTGTTCTGTAAATACAAGGCATTCGGTAGCTTTGCAAATATCTAGTCTGCAAGTTGTGTGTGTGAACAAAGTGCTAAGAATTATGCCTTCATGAAATCAGAACTTAAGCCTTCCTTTCCTCGCAATACAAATAAACTGAGTTGGCATGTCGCCAATGGAAGGTTTATTTTATCTGACTCTGTTCCCCCGTGAGCTGGGAAAACAATTAATCAGACTAATTGTTTTCCCCTTAGCAATCGGAAAGAATAATTAGTATTTAGTACCTAATTAATCCCGTCCTCCACCATCTATATATGTATTTGCACACAAATGCTAGATCTTCAATTCTGCGTTGTGTCTACGATAAAGAAACAGAAAAGAATGCCAAACCCTAACCCACTAACCTTCGCCGGCGGCGCCGAGATCCCCGACGAGCTTCTCATGAATGAGATCTTCTCGAAGATCAGCGACGGTGCCTGCCTGGCTCGATGCCGCTGCGTCTGCAGAACGTGGCGCCATCTCCTCTCCGGTCCTTCCCTGATTCGGCATTCACCGCACTCTTCTCCTCCTTCTGATAATTACCAAATCATGGTCTGCGGCTCCGTCGGCGGCGGCGACCACTACTGCAACAACTCGAAGCAAGTTTACAGCTGGTATTCTCCGGCGACACTGGAACCCCTCCTTCCTCATTGCCGTCCCACAGTACCGGACCTTCTTCACGGCGGCGACGTCAGGTACGTCGACGTCGCGGGATGCTGCAACGGTCTGTTCTGTTTGAAAGTCGTCTCCACCGCGTTCGAAACCGGTCTGGTCCTCTGGAATCCGGCCGCCTCCGAGACCAAGCTCCTCCCTCCCTCTCTACTCAATCCTCGCAAAGTGGAGTTTCAGCCGGTCTGGTTCGGTTTCGATTCGGAGAAGAATGACTATAAGGTCTTCTAGAAAGATGGTTCTGCGATGGAGGTTTATAGCTTGAGGGCAAATTCGTGGAGGATTTTACAAGGGTGGTGTTACATAGGAAGACCTTCGCACGGGCAGATTCCCATTTGTCACGAGGGGAAGCTGTACTGGCGGGAGAAGAAGTACCGTAAGAGTAGTTTGCTGTTTCATTCGGTTGACATTAGCAGCGAGGATTTCGAAAGCGTCGAGGTGGATTTCCCCGAGGTGTTGGCAGGAAGAGAGGGTGGTGATGGTCGCGGCAGATTGAGTGACGTTTCTGAATGTTTCTTCAGCGACAAGAAGGAATCCTTGGTGGCTCTTCTCTCCTTCTCCGGTTCGAGCGTCGTCACCACGTCTCACGAGGTGTGGATGCTGTTGAAATGCTGGGCAGCGGAGTCGTGGATCAAACTGTTTGTCGTCATGGAGCCTCCTGCGATGCACAGGTTCAGGACCGTCGAGTCGTTCGGGAACTTGAGGTTATGTTTTTTCGCTGCGCAGACTATAGACGGGGATGGTCACGAAAAACGCGTCAGCGTCTTCGATCTCGAGACCGGAGAACTGAGAGATTTCGAAACCGTCGTCAGACCGTATCAAATCGTAACTTATGTACCTTCTCGAGTTTCTCTGAGAGATTATTGTTAGTAAATTGGACGTACCCTTTTTCTCATCGCTCCTGATGAATTAGAGACATTTCGTATAGTTATAGAGTTTTGGAGAATTCGTGGATTTTGAAATCCGAATATGTAGCCTTTGTTGTGTGGTAGTTTGGGATATTGTACAACATCATACTTGATGAATTTACTATACTACAAACTTTCAATTGCGTTGTCGATATCTTTGTCAATACTTAACAAACTTTTTTTATTTACCTATGTTGGGACATTTTATACAATCACTAACTTTGTAATGGTACCTTATTCATCCCATTCCCAACCCCTTTTTCCATAATTTACAAAGAGATATAATCCCCAGAAGCAGCAGCAAAAGTGAACCAGCCCTGTTATCTGAAGGAAGTGGAGGTGGTGGGTTGAAGCAGCAGCCTTGTGTGGATGAATGCACGAGTGTGTTCCCACAGCTGGAGGGCTTCACCTCCATCATTCCCCAAAGCTGAGCAGTTGCTCTCATTGCAGTCTGCAAAGTACTTCCCTCCAACTCCTTCTATTTGAGGACTCAGAGCTACATAGCATGTGGTTGCTGCGCCCTACAATGGAAGACCCGCCGAGAAGGTACAAGTTCAGTTTATACCATTTACATGAGTGGTAATAAAGGAAATTAGAAGATATTGTTTTGGTCATCTATACCTGTGATACAGATTTCAACAGCTTGGAGGCTATGAAATATACTGAATCTGCAATTTTTGGAGGATTCAGTAAGATGGTTTCACGTTTCAGGGATAGCTAGGAGAAGAAAATGTGTTGTTATGCTGATGCATCATTCATCACGTGTTGATGTCGTTAGATTGCCTAGTGAGGACTAGACACAAATACGCAGGACAATCCGACGATGTTAGCATGTACTACGAAACGTAGTACAAATGTTTCGTGTGTGTATATAAAGGGAGGAGAGAGAGGGACCTGTGATGAGACCCTTGTGGTCTCTGATGATGCCAGTCTTGATAATGCCTGGATGTACTGCATTCACCGTCACTTTTGCATTTCTTGCCTTGAGTTGTCTGGAGAGCTCCTTGGCATGCAGAATGGCAGCCAGCTTGGTCTGAGCATAAGCACGTGTCCCATTATAGCTGCTGCTGCTGCTGCACCATGAACAATTCAGTAACTTGAGCTAAAAAAAAAGCTGTTAGCAATTTGGTTGGTGGTGGTGCTCTGTGTAAAATAGCTTGTGATTCATTTACTTGGTTGGGTTGAGCATGTTTTGGAAGGAGGAGGAGGAGTCTCTTTTCACCCAGCTGTGGATCGCTGAGGAAAGGTTGATGATCCTGCCGTGCATCCCGCTTTCTCGCGCTGTTTCCTCCATCTTCTCCAGCAGCAACTCTGTCAGCAAGAAATGCCCTGTAGTTTCACAAGGGAAAAACAGAGCCAAGAAGGGAAAAGAAATGTTATGGGCTGACAAGTTGGAAACAGGCGGCCCTCTGGGCTTTGAGATTAGACAGGCCCAAACATCCACCTTTTGTCTGCAGTAAAAAAAATTTCTTTTACTGGTAAAGGTTACATCATGAAAGTGGGGGAAAAATGATGGCGTGCTCATTATGTCGAAAGGAAAATGGATAAGCAGTTGTTGATGCATGTCTGTTGTAATTTCTGGGTTTTCTTTTTACCTAAGTTAATCATGAAAGAATTTTGCACCCTTAGCTTTACGACAGCCGACAGGGCAGAGCACCCGACAAAAGGAAGGAAAAAAATAGAGAAGCAATGGGCAGCAAGCGCACGTACGGATATTGCTAACAGAAACAGAGTCCCTCTCCCTCTGCCTCAAACATCTCTGTCTATGAAAACTATTTTTATCAAGTTCGTCAAACCGGTTTAACTCATTGAGTCGATCAAGTAAGGGGCTTGAGATTTAATGGTCTGGTTAGAGTTTGGTCGGTTTGAGCCGGTTTAGACGTTTTTCAAATATATATAAAAATAACGTAGTAATTAAAGATTTAATAACTGAGATGAAATTTATTTTACATAAAATAAATCTATCTAACCTCCGTTACCCACCTACTATCTCCATTCCTTCGTTCCTCTTCCTCTCTTTCCCCTCTCTTCTTCTCTCTTTTTAGGGGTTAGATCGGGGGACTTTATAGTTTATATAGGCCGTTTTGAAACCCCATCTTAGATCGAACTGGGTCGAACCGGAATCAGATAAGGGTTTAACAACCTTGATTTTTATCTTGTGTAAGGATAGAAATACACATACTCGTACACATATACGTACCCAAGTAATTCGTAGCGAATGTCATCTCGATTTTGTCCTCGGAGAACTCCAACCCATGAGAGAAAATCCCAGCATTGTTTCTGTCAAAAGAAGGAGAGAATGGAAGATCAAGTTACAAGAAGTAAAGCCAAAATGAAACAATGGTGGTGGGTTACATTACAATTACATACATGAGAATGTGGAGCGGGAGGCCAAGGGAGAGGAACCGGCGACAGAAAGAAGCGACGGAGGCGAAAGAGCTCAAGTCCAGCTCCAGCACCACGATCTGTGCATCAGGAGAAAGATGGAGAATGCTCTGTTTCAGGCGGGCAGCTTTGTTCACGTCTCTGGCTGCAATCACGACTCTGACCCCGCTCTTGGCCAGCACTGTTGCTGTCTCCTCTCCTATCCCTGATGTCGCCCCTACATTACATATACACAAAAGTCCATATCACTCATTATTATTAATAATAATCACTTCAAATGTATAATAATCAAAGAAGAGGAAGAAAAAAATGCCACATGTCATCATTTTTGGTAATTAAGTAATGTTGTGGAGAAGGAGAAGAATTGGATCTGCAGTGGGGGAGACAGCAGACAGGGATATATATCTGGGATTTGGTATGACCAATGAGTAGCTCACTAGCCATCTAGCTACATATTTTAGTCAAAAAGGGAGGCAGAAGGGGGGAAAGAACAAGTAGAAAAATGGAAAGAAAAAAAATACATACAAAAATAAGTATTTTGGAGCAGAGCAGAGCAGAATCAAGATTGAAAGAGATGAGACAAAAACCATATCCCAATAACAACCAAACAAAAAGGAGATAGCCAGAGAATTAGAATATACAGATATGCATGCAGCACCTGAATTCTTCAGCAGAACGTTGGCCGGAGGAGGAAGGGAAATATGGATGATGAATATAATTAATTACCAGTGATGATGGCTGTCAAAGGAGTTGGTGAGGAAGAAGAAGGAGAAGGAGGAGGAGGGAGATAGTGTTGGGTGACTTGTTGGGCTGTTGATTTGGAGCCGAACCCAGTTGGGCCTGCAATTCCTGCCAAGTACTTCACTGTTCCTTTCATTCCCACACTCCAACGCCAGCCAACCAACCAGAAAGAAAGAAAATCTAGTCTCTTATTTCATTAATGGCGGAAGAACAAGAGAAGAGAAGAGAAGAGAAGGGAAGAATAAAGAGTGGAAGGCAAGGAGAAATTTAGGAGAGGAGAAGCAGCTGCTGCTAGGAATAAGCTTATGGTGTTGTGTTGTGTGTAGGCTATATCTTGGACACACTGACCTCACCACCACAATATATTATATATTGATTTATTTTATGTTACGTGCGCGTTTGGGCGTGTGCGGAAGTAAATATATATAGAGAGGATGTGGGAATTACCCGTTTAATGAACCAAACTATTTGCGAATAGAGAGTGGAATTGGATTCATGTGTTAGGGAGGTGTGTCGCTCCGTCTGAATATTTTGTGAGAGATTCATGTTTTGTCGGTATAATTTTTTTGGAATTCAGACATCCGACACACTTTCAATAATTGCAATTGACACACTTTCAATACACTGTGATGAAATTGGTGTCATAAAGTTCTCAAAATACGTAAATATGTATTATTTATTTTTAAATTTTAGTTAACTAGATGATAAATTTGGGGTTCATTCCATTGCTTAGGCATTTAGACTCTATGGTTTTTTGCTCTTAGGTCTTAGGCAAGGGTAATCGTAAGGAAGTTTTCTTCTTTTTTCTCTCCGCCTGAATAAGTTTCGTTTCTTCTTGATCCTTATAGCTTTCACATAGTTGTCCACCTAGTGACAAAAAATTGCTCTTTCATAGGGAGTTCGGTTGCATATGGACTACAGCTCTTTATTATTGTCATGTTTATTAAGAAAACCCTAGTGTTCCCTTTACCTCTTTCGATCCCACTTCTCATTGTGTTTCACAGTAAAATATAATTAAAATTGATTTATTATTTTATTTAATTGTATCGACCGAAACACCTTTACGAGAATCCTGGGTCCGCCACTGTTCGCGAATGGTTCAGTTTCGAACTCGAGAAAAGCTTGTTCGATTCGATAAAAGTTCGATTTTCTTATTAACGAGCCGAGCTTGAGCTTAACCTTGTTCGACTCATGAACTATCTCATTTTGAGCTCATGAGATGTTTCAACATTATAACTAGCAAGCCAACTTGATTACGACTTATGAGAAAATCCATCTATATCTTATGAGTTGGTTTGTCAATGACGCATATATTGATTAAATTGTATATCACACCTCCTGTGATGTTTAATAATTTAAGTATGTGATCACATATGTCTCATATATGACATGAAGATCAATTAATCACATGTATTGTATATGACATATAAATATTAGGGTATTTATTCATAAATTATCTTAGAGTTGAGCTCGAGCCAAAATTTTGATCTTAATGATGAGTCGAGATTCAATAAATGAGTTAGCTCGTGTTCGGCTCGACTCAGCTCATTCATAAATGAGCCGAGCTCGAGTTCGGCTTGTTTATGAACGAACCAAACATGAACAAGGCAAAGCTCGGTTCGGCTCGGATCATTAACAACCCTGCTCAGTGGTAGTGTACCATGTATAGGCTCGCGAGCGGCTCGACGCTCAACTCGGGAAAAGTTTGTTCAAAACTCGACTCGTTTATTAATAAGCCGAGCACGAGCTAAGCCTTGTTCAGTTTGTGAAGCTCGCGTACTAGCTCGACTCGGTGATTTGTTGAGCTAAACTCGTGAGCTGGCTCGTTTAGAGCTCGTGAGATGTCTCACATCGTGGCTAGAGAGCCAACTCGATTACCGTTTTATGGGTGAATCGATCAATATCTTATGAGTTTAATTGACATAATTATTAAATAATATATATCACCATATATGAAGTTTAACATACTGAGGATGTGAGCAAATATATATTTTTTTATTTTAAAAAGAAATTTTATATCATAGATTGCTTCGATACTGTTAAATAATATGATTGAGATTAGTTAAAATTTATTAACTACATAATATGATACCAACAAAGCATAATATGATATTAGTTAATATTGAATATTTATTTTTTATTTTTTATTTTTCAGTATGATATCAATAACATGTATCATACATTATATTCAAAACGAAGTATCAAATACGAGTTAATATTTTAGTAAACAAGCCTAGCTCGAAATCGACTCGACTCAGCTAGTTAATAAACGGCTCGAGCTCAACTCGTTAATTAACGAGTCAAGCTCGACCTGATATAAAACTCGACTCGGCCCATTTGCAACTCTAACCTTGTAAGACTAGAGAGTTCGGTTACAGTACACAGCACAGAATGGAGGTTTTGATAGAGTGAGGTCAGGACTAGCTAACGATTCTAACTTCTAAGGGCGGACCCAGGGTTGTTTTTTTTTTTTGGGTGTGAACCCAGGGTTGTTTAGAGAAACGCATCTAAAATATTTTGGTTGAGAAATTAATAAATTCCCGCTGATACTTTTGACTTTTGAGTATAGGAAAAACAAATTGTTGTTAGTCTATGTGATTAAAATCTGTAGTTGATTTGTTGTTGTAATTTTAACATAAATATAATCATAAACGGTTGTAAGCTATTCCTTATCTCTTATTTTCCCAAAACCTAAAAATTAAATCCAATTTGGCTACATGCGACTCCTTATCCACACCATGTTCTAAAGAGTTCGATTACCTTTGACTCTTTTCTTCTACTGTACTTTGAAGAATTATTATCACTGGGTTAAGAATGATGAGTTTTATTCTGCAGATTAAAAATAATTTATTATATCTATGGGTTTGTTTGCTTATCAAAGTTTTATTATTTTACCGATTGCAACTGCAAGTGTTGAGAGAACTTTTTCAGCTTTGAATTGCATAACAGGCTTGGGAAAAGAATTGGCGATCAGTTAATGAATGATTTTTAATAGGGTATATTGAAAGATATTGATTGAGCATTGTAGACAATGACTTTTTGTTATAACTTGTACTAGTTTAGTGGATATTTTCTTATTTGATAATTTTTTATATTTATATAATTTTTTATTATTATTATTTAATTTATAGAAGGAAACACCCCATATAAAATTTCTAACTCCGCATAAAATTTATAACTCGGCCACTGCCTCCACGAGCAACCAACTTTAACTAGCTGCATCTCATTCTATATTTTAAAAAAACTTGAGTTAATAAATATGATTGATCCTCTCAACTTCATTTCTTGCATAATTATATTGACCACTGTAGCTAGGGATGACAATTTCAACCTGACCCGATTTACCCTACCTGTTTGACCTGTTTTGGGGCGGGAATGGGTATCTCTCATCAACCCGACCTGCCCTGACCCGCCCCATTCTCGACCTGTTCTGGTCTAAATTACATGTAATCTTATTCAAATTACTTAAGATTTTCCTCTTATCACATCATATTTTAGGTATAATAAAGGTGTAAATAAGTGAAAAACTCAATCTCTCCAATAATTTAACTACATTTTATCAAATTATGGTTTCTTTCTTGGTCTTTTAATTAAAATAACGAATAATTCTAAGGTTTTTCACATAAATTATATACCCAATGGGTCGATCTGCCCCGACCCGCGCCCCATAACAAATTACCCGACCCGGACCCGACCTGCCACGAGGCGGGTATGGGTATCGAGATACCTGCCCCGGACCTGCCCATTGCCATTCCGTCTGTAGCAAGCACTCAATCCCATAAACATATCAACTTGAGCATAGAGCTCTTAGAATATCCATCATTAATAATGACACTATGGGTTTAAAATATAATTTAGGAACAGTGAATTCTCTGTTTAAATTCAGTAATCTCATTTTGATGTAGTATTTTGATGAGTTAAATTGGCTCAAATAACTCATCAGTTGAATTAACTCTTTTGACTATGTAAATTTGAAATGAATGCAAATGGTTATATGTTCCCTAATTACTTTATATTATGTTTTAGTCAGTACTGAAAGGTCCGAAAAACAAACAAAACTCAAATCTACTAAACATATCAAATTTGATATCTTACAACCTCTAATATAGATTTTATTAGGAGAGATAAAACCATATAAAAAAGGATAAGACAAGAGATTTTGTAAGTCTGTATTTTATAACGAAAGTCTCGTCAAAATGAACTCGCCTTACTAAACTGTAAGTGGCCAGACGAGACGATTAATTAAGTTATTACTCGGTCAATTATTTTGCTAATTCAACAAGAAATTACAACTCTGTAAAAAAAAAAAAAGAGCACGAGAAAGAAATTTCAAGCCACAATTCAACGGAAAAGAAAATTTCCAAGCCACCTACTGATACACAATCAAGTGAGGGGGGAAAATTGACTTTTAAACAGTGAATAAACTATTCTGGTTGGTCGGATTTGACCTGTTCCCCATAATTCCCCCCATCAACGTAAATTTAACTTTTATCTCGGAAAGATAACTTTATTTATTGTTAGGTGCAAAAATTTTAATAAAGACGTGGAAATCACTCACTCATTATGGTGAATACTCTGTAAAATGGTTTGGTTTGGAAAGTAGGAGAGGCATTTCCCATAAACAAAAATCCCATAAAAAAAGAAAGTAGGAGGGGCATAGATTCTTCCAAAGCCAATAAGAACTCTGTAAAATCACCCATAATAGGAGGAATTTTACAATTCTATATAGCATTGGTGCTATAGGTTTTTGCTTTTATGGTCCAACTTGAAATTGTACCTCTAACGTTATGGTACAATTTCTTTTATGGTACAACTTAAACTTGTACCTTATGTGATGGTACAACTTCAAGTTGTAAAGTTGTACCATGACATAATGATACAAATTCTTTTATGGTACAACCTAAACTTATACATTTAATGTTATGGTACAACTTCAAGTTGTACATTAAAGCACCAATGTTATATAGCATAGTAGAAGTGCTCCCACAATAGTGTGATGGTAAATGTGAAAAAAATAGTGGGATGGTAAATATGAAAAAGTGGATTTTTTTCACTTGAAGTGTGCAATAGGGCTAAGTGGAAAAGGCATGAGGAAATATGTTTGTACTCGTTTTTGGTTGAAATTTTGCAGCTCAATATTGTAATAAAGAGAATAAAAAAAAATATAGAAATGGGAGAAGCTCTCCCCTCTCTCCTTCGCCTAGGGCGATGGATCGGCCGACTGCTCTTGTCGATGTTGGTAGCGATCTTAACCCAATGTGTGCAGAATCAAGATCGAGGGGAATATGAACAAAGAGGGCTTTGGTGGCGGTCTCATGTCACTGCTCGCGATCGCCAACCCTCTAGGGAATC